CCCGCACCCTGACACATCTCCTATCATACCGTCCTGCCAGCCCGCACCCTGACACACTTAGGGTGCTAGACAGGTGCTAAATGCCATAGAAAATGACGAAATAGGGGAGACTTGTATTATTAACTTTCTTAAGTCCATTTAATAGTACGTATTAAACTCTCTAAAGTGGAAAAAGCCGTAGGTTTAGGTTAAAAAAAAGTTTGAAGGATATGCCTCACAAACATTCTTCCGCTCGGCCAAAAAACCATAAAATCAGAGCTCTCGCTCTAATATGCCTAGGACCAATTATATAGCAGCGCACTTGGTTTATCTGTGAAATATAACGAACCCCGCTCGGTCCGATCCTGTGGTCAGTCTAATGCGTCATTGATCAGTTGATCCCTTTCCATGTGCTGTGAGGATCTTTGTCCGTTACACACTAATCAAAGCCTTTAAATCGGAGACTATCAAAACTAGCTTCGGGGCGGCTAGCTTAATACCTTTAATGCTCGATCGAGTGATCTCGAAGCTAAATATTCACCATCGAACCCCAACCCCCCCCTCCGAGTAGGGGAGACACACGGAGACAATCAATGTTGAAAACTGCAAGGGCATGTGCTAGTACACAGCAGTCTTGTCGAGCATTGGAGTAATAGCTGTTAACGCCAGCTAGGAACAATGATAGATCTAGATTCAATGATTGGACCTCATGCTGGATTCTTCACGGCAATGCCGAAGATTCAAGAGAGTGACCAAGGACTGTTGGTTGAGTTGGCACAGTTTGTTTGGAGGGATAGAGAGACAGTGTGCTCCACACTCCGTAGATTTGGCAAGCGGCTTTTAAATAACGGGGCTAGGTTAGTTTAGGTAACGTTTTGGGATGAAAATGAGACTATTAAATGAGAACTCCATGTGGCGTTAAAATTTTGATTAGCAATTTTTCATGTCGCTTATGTACGGAGTAGGGAGTGAAACATCGTATGTTGTATAGCCCTATAAATTGGTTGTTTATTGACTCGGTATGCTTCCAAATTTCCAGAACTATGTTGTACATGCATGTCTTAACCATCTCGAGATGAACATTTAACACCATGGGGTAACCGGGATCTGACCAACCGATTCGATCTTCCGTCCCGGCACCTAAATTGTATATCAAACATATGAGCAGTAGTGCCACCGCACTTGTCTCACTAGAAACCCCCAGGGCCGAAACCACCAGTGGAGATAGGCAGCTAATGCAGGGTACTAGACCCTGAAAGGCTTCCCATCATCTGCAACGTCGTTCTGAGCTTGCCACTCATCTGATGCTGTCCGATTTGTTCGATGAAATCGACCAGGCTCATCCCGTTATAAAGCAATGTGGCAAGTTACAACCTATTCACCACCCGGGACAAGATCACCATATAGTAACCTCCCAAACTCATACTTCTACGGCATAGCCGACGCCAGGTCTTGCCGGAAACTGATCGGCAAGGATAAAAGCCTTGAGCTTCGGGTATAACGGGGTCACCATTCAGCAACTGAGACATTCCATTCCGCCTTGGTCGATTATTTAGAGTCGGCCATGACACATGAGGGGGGAGTGCTTTTACAACACATAAAGATGATAGGATCTTAATATAGAAAGACACGTCTTCCACTCATCGAACACAATATCTCGGTCCATGAGTTTGGCACAAGGAGAGTAGTAAAATCAAGTCGAGAGACTCAGGGTCTCAGTTGGTTGTTTATTTCCCGGGGGGAGTCGGCTTTAACCGGCATAGTGGGTGCAATTACGATGGAATTGAATGTCCTAAAAAAGACTGATTTATCATCTCGTTTGTCCGTATTTAGCTCAAGGTCGTAATTATTTTTAAATGAGTGAAATAGAGTATAGCCTATTATTAGGATGGTCGATTAGTCAGCCGTCAAACTCAGGGCCAGACCAAACAAGGCGCAGCAACAAACCAACCTGCCAAAATTTAGCCACTTTTTCCCTTCCTTTTGTTTTGCTTTAACTTGGACTTTTGATCGTCCTCCGGAATATGCCGTGTTTGATGACTTAGCGGCCGACTTACAACGCACAGATTAACATACCTCCAGGTACCGATCTAACTTCGAACCACACCCCCCCCCCCCTTCCCCTCCCTCCCAAACCCATCGCACGAGACTTCAGTACCCTTGCTTCATTCTCTGCAGTGAGATACCTATCAATCTCGAGTGGCTATCGACCCTGAGAAGGGGTGCGGACGGTGGACGAGACCCCGACGCTGACCCATTGCCAACACAACGTGGATTCGATTATTTACGCCGGGGGTTGACCTCCCCGAGGAGGTCATCCCGGATGCCCGAAATAGACATGTACAGCTCGACGGAGATTGAGCTGGATGAAAATTCATCATCTCGACAGAATGGAACGAGGTGGCCGCGACGTAGTGGATTGCACATCTTGCAAGGTCGGCCATGGCGCGACACTTCGAATCGCCGAGCACAACCATGGAGCCCCGCGTGGTGGATTGCACTGGTTTGCTTAATAACTTTTGCGGCGCCAGCCGCTGCTGTTCTATTGGACTTTGAAAACTGTATATCAAAAACTATCCTCGAGTCCGACCCTCTACAACTTCAATTCGTCCCTACCAACGTGTCCGTCAAATTCAACCTTACCAACCCTCTACATCCGCTCACCATCACGGTATATGGGAATGTGTCAGGAACCGTGTCTCGAACCGCACACTACCCCGCACCGGATTCCTCCGTCTGGACAAATCCCAATTGGACCGATGGGAAGATTCAGGATGTGAGCCGCACCAACAACAAGTACAGCACGCTGATGACGGATCTCAATGTACTCAGCTTCACACCCTTCCACAATGCCTCTCGTTTCCGTGACTCGGTCACGCAAGGTACTCTCCCATTAGGCCCAGTCTTCAACTACAACCTGTAAGTTGTTACTGAAACAGATAGGTCTTTGTGCCTTTAAACTGACTCATTCTTCCCGTGCAGGAGTGACTTGGAAACATTACGAGCGTTCACCGTTGAACATAATATGCTTTCAACCTACCGTTTCGGGACCATCACACCGTTATTATCGGTTCGCTCTGGAGATGCATCCGCGGCTCAGCTCGCCTGTATTTCATTGAGCGCTACGCCGGACCTAGGAACGCCTCTCAAAAGTGCCATCACCTATGTGCCTCTTGTAATTTTGATACTTGTGGGGATTGCGACCATCATCGCCGCCATGTATAGCCCTTGGGGCACAACTGATCTATTTCGGTGGACGAGCAATTATGGCCGTGATGAGGACGTTCTCCGGCTCGTCACTCCTGGGTTTGCAGATTGCCTGCAATACCTCCAGTTCGCAGTCTTGACGGGTTCGCTTTCTTTGGATTACCCAGGTTTCTTCCAGCCTGCTGTAAGTCAGGGAGCATGGTCTACTCTCATGTTCAACCAGAGTTTCGTGAGCTCTGGAATGGGCCGCGATCCCGTTGTTGATGGCTTATATGCTATCAACGGAACTTATGGCCTCGATCGAATGAACCATCTGGTTGGTATGGCCTCGTCCCAGGATATCTGGCCTGGGATGATGATATGGGTGCTTATAATTTTGGCGTGTGTGACAGTGCTATTCCAGATTGCATTCGCACTTCGATGGCTGTATCGTGAGTTGGCAAACAATACCGATCAAGATCTTCGTGCCAGAAACATGCCGTTTACCCTAGGTAACCTCATTCGCATTGTCTTCAATTTCCTTCTCTTGCCGATTATCTCCCTTTCCTTCTTCCAGCTGGTTATTGCTCGTCAATCGACCGCTTACAGTGTTGCCTTGGCAGCCGTCGTGCTTATCATTCTCGCTTGCTTCTCCATTTGGGTTATTCGAGTGATTCTTACCACACGACCCAAGTCTCACCTCTTTGATGATCTTCCTACGGTGCTATTGTATGGGCCACTATATAATACATACTGTGATGATGCAGCAGCCTTCGGTGTCGTGCCGATAATCTTGAACATCGCTCGCGGGATAGCCATTGGTGCTCTGCAGCCATCTGGCATTGCTCAGGTGGTAATGCTGGCCATTTGCGAAGTTGTTTCCATACTAACCCTGCTGGCTTTCCGACCTTTCTCAGGACCGACTCACATGAACCTGTACCACTGCCTCTTCTCGATTGTGCGTTTCTTGACTGTAATCTTGAGCGTCATATTTATGCCATCATTGACGGTTTCGGATGCGGCGCGAGGCTGGATCGGATATTTGATCCTTGTGCTACATGCCATGGTTCTAATCTTTGGGTTCTTCCTCAATGCGATGCAAACATTGATCGAGGTCCTGGCAAGATTGGCTGGTGCAGGCGGTACCACTCGTGGTGGCTTGACCAAGGTACTTGGTATGCGTCAGCTGTCCAGGCGCACTCCGCGGCGTGATCTTACTCGCCAGAGCATGGGGTCGGACGCTGCTATGCTTGGCCACAGCGATGACCGTATGTCGTCTCAATTTGATGGATCGCGTCCCCACAGTCTCTCTGGGAGCTCCGGTCTGCTTCTGAACCGTGCCACAGCTAGTGATGGCAGAGCCAGCGCTGTTTATGATTATCCCGGATCGCAAGGGGGCACGCACAGTTGTGCTCCCAGTGGAGGATTCCCCACGCCTACCTCGACTGCCTATCAAGGTGCCGGCTTCTTTAGCTCACCCAGTAGTGGTACGATGATGGGAAAGAACCCCCGCGATCCCTATTATCGACCACCCCGCCCGGGGCGAAGAACCCCCCCGGAAAGTGCTGCTCTCGAGAAGGGGAAGAGTCCGTCAAAGGGCTTCTTGAAATCAAGAGCAAGCCGCCGAGCAGTCAAAACCGAAGACGACCTAGGAGATGGCACCATGTCTGGCCGGGCCACACCTGTCCCAGCATATCTAGCAGCACCAAAGGATGATATGGAGCTCGATACCCCACGCAAGCCGAAGGATTATGCTGTTCGTGAGGTTGATTTCTACTACGGTGTTCGAGGTCCACCGCTCTCTCACAGCGGCACCCGAAAGTTAAAAACTGGCCCAGCTGACCCCACAGGCCCAGTCTCCTCTGCGACGGGCTGGTTCCGAGGCTTGCTCCAAAGGAAAACCAAGGATAATGCCAAAGGATTTGAGGTGGTTCGAAGTGCTCGTGCGCCTCCTCCAGGTCTATTCCCGCGAGGAGGAGACTATAATGATCAGGATCAGGATGATACAGGCACGCCATCTGCCGGCCATTCTCGAAATGTTTCTACTAGCCATGTTCCCTATCAGGATTCAGATAATGACCAGGATCCCGAGCGGTCAAGTGAGACACGCCCGCCAGCACTACCGCCACTTAAAACTTCAATTGGTGGTGGCATCGAGTTGCCGAGTCGAACGGGTTCTCACCATACAAAGGCACCTGGTGAACAAGACGCAGATTTGACTGGGGTTGGTCTTTCAGTTCTGACCGAAACCCAGTCGCACAACTCTGAGGTAGGCCAGCGCTCCGAGCACCATCTCCAGCCAGAAGGCTCCACCACCGCGCGCTTACCTTTCAGTGGGAGTAGCTCGCCATCTCGTGAACGAGGTCTGTCTATGACCTCTACTTCAAGGTCAAGGTCAAACTCCTCGAGCAAGCAAACGGGGCCTCGAGCTGGACGGCCCTCGAGTATGGGCTATGTTCCTCAATACCGGGCACACGACCACATCCACGAGGCAAGCCCCGATGAGATGTCGTTTACAGGCAGCTCAGCAGAACTTGTTGATGAAACTGCGCTGGGCAGGCACGAATTCTAGAAAGACAAAAAAAGGACAGCCACATCTATTTTGAACCAGTACATTCCTCTTCTTCAATATCTACCTCTCTCTCTGTCTCTGTCTCTGTCTCTGTCTCTGTCTCTGTCTCTGTCTCTTGTCTCTCTCACAAACTATGGATTCCCCCCACCTATTTCCCATTTCCCTCTATCGATATCATCACCACGTCTCCTCTCCGAAATACTGGCGAATTGATGCAACCATCACGAATTTCCTTGCTGTCTGTCCGTCTAATTCTTGCTTTGTGTGTCTACATAAAATTGCTGCGACGGCGTTCTATCTCTGATTCCGAGGTACACTTGATGGGGAGTGAGCTATTTGGCTTTTTTTGTAATCTTTCTGGCTGTCGCTAAATTCAGGCCACATGCTGTTTTAATTTTGGAGGCTTTGCATCTTTCTGTTCCTGTCTCCTTTCGCTCTTCTTGTATTAATCTCAGGATACAATAGTTCCAAGGCCATAATTAATTATTGAGTGTTGTTCATCAGTGCTCTGTCTTAGTGGTGATGTCAAGTCTTCGTTAAGTCTTGAGAGATGGATACAAATATTGAATACCACATGCACATGTAGACAAGCAATGTTTCTTTGCATCGTCACGCAGGGCTTCGCTGTCTTTGTGACAATTTTATGCAAGGGTCCTGCGGCTATGCTTATGAAAAACAAAACCTCCTTAGCCATTGATATCGAAATGTAGACGCAGTGAGTTTCTCTGAGATTACTGTAGTAGAGTTGATTGAGTATTTCATTTGAAATATGAGGCCCAGGTCAAAACACTGAGACTTCGAGTAGAGGGCATCAACAAGAAATAGCCGAGGCCGATGACACAGGCAGATCGGGCCGATTCTGTCAATCGCCACCGCCCTCACCGCCCGTCCCCACGATAACAGTTGTATCTGGACCAAGCATGCAATCATCTGCAATGTTTCCTCTATTTTCTCTGTGAGTCAATAGTTACTCTACTGGTTTTAATCTTTTCCTCTTTTCATCTGTCCCTGGTATCGCTATTGCGGTGCTGGCATCCGAGAGCATAGTCACGAGACTCTCAGCCTCATCCATCTCCTAAATCTGACCCCAACAGCCTTGGCTCCATGATAAGCATCATTTTGTCATTCCTTGATGCGATCTTCGGCAAAAAGCGTCAACGTCATTGAGGCTGAGCCCAAGACTGTATGATAGGACTCTCCATCTTCTACGCCGATTTCTTCGACTTCCCCGCCGTCCATTCCCCTCACCATCGCCACCTAGTTCATGAAGACTCTCATCCCAACGGCCGAGATCGATCTCGTTGCCTGTGTTGAACAGAATAGTACAGACGGTCAATACCATTTGACCCAAGAATAAATATGTCTGGATCAAGCACGGCGTCGTCTAGCCCGATTCAGTCAAGCCCCCCGCCGAGGATGCAGGCAAGCACCAGACCAATCGAAAGACCGGAGGGACATGGCACAATCCAATCTGGAAGCTACAGCGGATATGAAGGAGGTAGCTCCAGGGTCAGAGCCTTTCCTATTCGTGCCGGGTCAGAACGTAAAAGGCGGTTGACCAGTACTGGCGAGGATGCGAGGTTGCATTGGAGACAGTCTGGAGGCACGGCTGGCCCGGCCCGAGACAATGGGGGATCTTCCAGGAGTACCTTGCCGCATAGATCTGTTTCAATGGTACTGCCTTCATCCCGCGCCAGGACCTCCATTCCCGCAGCACCTGGCTCTTCGTTTGCAACAGCAATTGCAATATCTTCCTCTCCCCCAGGGACGCCTCATTCGTCTACTTCTGGCGAACAGCTGCCGGGTCTCTCTCGACGGGAGAATCCAACACCCTGGATTAATCAATCCCGCTCCATCACCCCTCTTCCTAATAATATATCTTCGCCATTTATGGATATGGCTCTCCCTAAATGGCAGGCAGATTCAGATGTGTCAGAATGTCCTATCTGTGGGATAGTCTTCAGCTTCTGGCACAGAAAGCACCACTGTCGAAAGTGTGGGAGAGTCGTTTGTGCATCATGTTCCCCACATCGGATCACGATTCCCAGAGAGTACATTGTCCGCCCTCCTGAGTTTGTTGGTATCCTCTCCAATTCTCCGCCAATGTCTTCCCGTCCTCCACCAGTCGTCGATCTCACAGGCGATGACCCTATTCTGTCATCAACGCCAGCAACAGCGACAGAAACAACGACAGTCAATCCTGCTCTCGGTGGAGGCGAAGAAGTACGACTTTGCAATCCTTGTGTGCCAGATCCAAATCCGAATCCCCCTGGCTACAGCACCGTGCGGGCACACAGCCACCAATCCACTCATTCTCTCTCATCCACAATGGCCAACGCGTACCATGCCTCATCAGTTAGTTCTCCCCTAGCACTTTTTTTTTTAAAAAAAAAAACCTGGACTGACACGGAAACACACAGGGTTCGAGCCAAAATCCTCAAGGTCGTCAGGAACGACGAACTGTGGGTGCAAATGACCGCCCACACTTATTGAGCGAACTGAACTCGCAACCTCGTCAAGTTCCTTCTGCCACCGGCATCGTGCGGCCATGCCGTTCTTTCTGTAGCCGCGAGGGCAACCTGCCGTGCGGGCCATCCCTAGATGAGAGTGATTTCTGCCCCGTATGCAGACGCCAATTCCTTCCACTGAGTCCCGACCGGCCGCTTGAGGCGCGTCAAGCTCACACCCGGGCATGCATTGAGGGCTATCTGAGACCGACTCCCCCATCACGAACATCATCCGTACAACTGGGTCCTCCACTGCCGCACCTTCCACCAGCAACCCACATGCTTCAATTCGTGGCCACGGAGAAGGACTGCCTAGGTGAAGATGGCCAGGCAGCGGAGTGCACGATCTGCATGGAGGACTATGAGGTTGGGCAGATTCTGGCCCGGCTTGAGTGCCTGTGCAAGTTCCACAAGCACTGCATTGTCGATTGGTTTGAGAGAAAGATGGAGTGCCCTGTTCACAAGCTTTCCTAATAATGTGCACGTCTATTTAGCGTGAATTTTAAAAGATCTTTTTGTTTGCTCAACTTGACTTTTTGCTTTTTCTACTTTTTGATTCACTGTGTCTGGGAATTTTGTTTTTGGTATCCTCGCTCAGCGTCTGACTTGATCTTTACATAATGATAAACGAATCTCACTTACTCTGAATTTAAAATCAATCAGGTGTAAAGTAGATCATCTGCCGAGGTGTCCATTCGTGGCCTGGCTGGATTTTGGTCACGTGGCACTGGACACGTTAGATGAAACTCGATTTTCAAAAGCACTTCGCTTCACTTCCGGCCTAAAACCGACGAGCAATTAAAACAGGACTGAGGGGCATTCTGAGAGAGAGAGAGGTAAGCAATGATTATACATGTGTTCATTCCCCTTGCTTGACAGAACCCACCCCGCTGAGGCATGTTGATCATCCGCATCGGTGATCGGTGTTTGTGATTACCGTTCTCCGTGTGCATCTCCCGTCGCAAAGCCATGCGAGCCGTGAGCGATCACGACAATGAAACAATGGCAAAACCAGTGTGCACACTTACTGGGGAGCGATGCTAATGTGTAACAGTGATCTAGTCCTCGAATCGACGTTTGAACCCCGCGCTGCATGGAAATCGACCCGCAGCTGCAACGCATGCGAGACGGGGGTCCTCAACGGCCCTTTTACGCGCCGACCCGGCCAACAATGGGCACAGGCCCGGAATACCCAGAGCCACCCTCCCATTCACCCACCCACACCTATCAAGGCCAGAGTATAGATAGTGATGGACACAGCCATGGGCTCGGGCATGGGGACATACGCCCACCATTCGAGATGGGTCCAGACAACAATCAATACCCAGAGCTGCATAACGTCCCAGGCGAAGCCAAACGGTCGCGGGCGTGTGAGCCCTGCCGACAGTTGAAAGTGCGCTGCGACCCAGATCCGGCGCACCCGGAAGGGTCATGCAAGCGGTGCGCCAAAGCGCGGCGGACGTGTGTTGTGACAGCGCCGACGCGCAAGCGTCAGAAAAAGACTGACAGCCGGGTAGCGGAGTTGGAGCGGAAGATCGATGCTTTGACAGCGACTCTACAGGCGTCGAATTCGACTAGTGCGCTGTTCTCTGGTGGAGCGAGACAGCAACTGTCGCAGCCTGGGCAGCGGGATGAACAGCTGGCTGATCGGGGGTGGATAGGCGGGGAGTCGAAGATCGCGGGGAGCAAGCGACAGCATACCGGCGAAGTCAAGGATTCGTCTAGCGGATTGCTGGCGCCGCGGTATTCGCGACCGGGTAGTCCATCTGCAGAGCAGATTCCTAGCCATCCGTCGAAGCATTGGCGCAGACCTGTCAGTGGTGATTCTGCGCCGCCACCGCTGCCAAGACCTGAGGCTGGGGATGAGTTTTCTGATATGATCGATAGGGGTATTATAGATTACAATACTGCTAGCGCGGCTTTTGAGAGGTACATTAACCAAATGGCACCAGAAATGCCGTTTGTTGTTTTCCCGCCGGGGACTACGATGGGCGAGGTTCGGCGCAATAAACCATACTTGTTCCTTGCGATCATCGCCGTTGCCGTTGGTCCCTTTAATCCCGACGCGCAGCCGATCCTTGTGAATGAGACGTATCGTCTTATCGCCGAGCATGTTGTTGTCAAAGGCCACAAGTCGCTTGAGCTGGTCCAGACTATAGTTGTCTGTTCTATCTGGTATCTACCACCAGATAACTTCGACGAGATCAAGTTTTATTCTTTGACCCACATGGCTGCGGTTATGGCAATGGAACTTGGATTGAACCGTCCCACTTCCGGAAGTAGACGGGGCTTCAATATGATCCGTGAGCTGATCATGAAAAAGCCGACGGGACCAGCATTTGATCCAGATGGACCGGAGGCAAGGCGGACGTGGGTTGCTTGTTATTACTTACCTGTCCAGTGAGTTTTATGGGTTATCCTGGCGTGGGAATCGGCAACTTACCTTTGGCAGGATGTCGGCGGCTTTGAGGAGAGCACACTTGGTCACCTGGCAGCCATACATGGACGAGTGCCTTGAGATTCTAGACACCCACCCGGATGCCCTTCCCTCCGACCGGGGATTGAAATGGTGGGCAAAGCTGGGACTGCTGATGGAGGATGCTGGACGTCGTTTCTGTGCGGAAGATCCTGGAATCATTGCCACCTTCGCAGACAGTAAGGCGTGGTATAATATCAAGTTGTTTGAGGGTCGATTGGCACAGTGGAGAGAAGAGGTCCCGCGGGATCTTTACCTTGGTAAGCGCCGATCTTGAGGATAGTCTTTAACCTCGTACTGACATTCTCCTAGGTCCAATGATTCACACCGAGCATGTCTTGAATCTTTTCGTCCATGAACCTGCAATGAGCGTAGACTACAACACTGGCAACACCTCTCCAGCTCACGACAATTTGCACAAGTCGTCAATTGCGGCGGTCATCGAGGCGTTGACCACGGCCATCCGCTGCATTCATGAGAGTCTGGACCTCATTTGCGCCATTGAGGTTGACCGACTCATTTCCTTGCCTACAACGACATTAGCGCGGACAACATACCCCGTGGTCAGTTTGATCAAAATATACACATTGTTTATGTCGCCGGACAGTCGAATCAGGCAGATTCTCGAGGTGGAAAGTCTCAAACTCGATTATTATCTGGACAAAGTCATCGCACATTACCGTGCCGCCGCCGCGCGTGATGGCGGCCGAGGAGCAGCGAAATTTGGAAACGTTATGGTTCTGTTGCGCAATTGGTTTATCAAAAAGCGTGACCAGGGAGATCAGGGCCGGGAATTGAAAGAGGCCTTTTCACGCGATCAGAATCCCACCGAGCACCGGCAGACACATCGGAGTCATGATACGCCGACCGTGACGCCTTCCAATCCAAGAACGCATGTGGCACAAGGCATGACGCCCCTCCATTTCCTCAGCGAAGTAGCCATGGGCGACCCAGCGCACCGAGCGAAGAATCCCGACTCTCAACACGCAATACCTGGACAACCTCGTTCCTCAAACCACAGTCCAAACTCAACAGTCAACCGAATGGCAACACCAAGTTCATCTAGTTTCGGGCCAGACCTACCCCAAACCAGCTGGTCATCTGGGGCATCATACTCAACCACTCTCCCGAGTTCAGACTCGAACCCGATCGAGACGAGGGGGTATTACCTACCCTATCCACATACCGACCTCACACAGAACTACCCAGACATACCACCGAGTGCGCAGACTCAGGGATACCCGGACATGTCCACTGTGGCTGGTATGCAGCTCGCTCCTCCGATGGGAATGGCACCTGAGGTAGGCATGGACCCGAATCTTGGGGATCCTTGGTATACATTGGGAAATATGATGGATGGAGGACTGGTTGCGTTCCCGCTTTCTTTTGATGGGAACTTCGGACTGTTTTAGTCTGGATTGTGGTTTGGTTGGGTGTTGTATTTTCTCCTCCTATCTTATACCCGTTTCAGTTGTGAATTTGTATCCAATCTCACTCACCTCGCAATCTTTGCCCATCTTCCCCGCCTTTTCGAGGATTGCTTCCCGATTTCGAGAGATTTCGAGAGGGAAATTTGCCACGTCCCTGCATTGATTACGGGATGCTTGGATCTGCCCTATGACCTCTGGCACTGATCGTACGGGGAACCAGCGGAAGATGTCATTTCTTTCGAGTGGATTCAGAGCAAATCCACCAGGCAAAAAGATGGAGGGTATGAAGACACATGGTACAATGATATGTGATCACCTCTCGAACCCATTGCAACCCAGCAGACGTTTTATTTAAGCCCGACCACGCCCGAAAGCGCAAGGACCTCTCTGCCGCAAATGCTCTTCACAACATAGATAAATGGAAAGCGAAGATCCGCTGACAACTAGGAGAAACGAGAGGCTATGAGAAGATCGAGGAATTCTTGTTTCCTTGTAATCTGCTTAGTTCATTCAACGAGATAATATAATCCGATCACTCTGGTGACATACTAAGGACAGAGGTGACTATCTCTACGATGAACAGCATCCCCGACGTGTTCCGTGGGACTCTTCAAATGACTATGGAACCCCCAAAGCTCAGTCACTCATCAACCCCTTCGCACGAGAAAGCTCCGTTTGATTTGATTACAGAACTGCATGGGCCTCAACAACTTGGTGATGTTGATGTCTTCAAGCATAAGGCACCCATGTGCTACGGGACCCTCCCCCATCGCTGCTGTCTCACGGGTGTTACGGAGCGATGGTGAAGAAGACCGAGAGGAGGAAGAGAAGAGGAGTGGAAGTTTTATATTGTCACGTCCTATATGCCTTCTCAACATGGACCAACACATACCTTCCCTGGTCCAATGTCACAGGTCAATCAATCCCTTCACTTCGATCAACATCTCACTGGAATCTGTGCCCGGATAATTTTATTCTCCGCAGCTCCGCTGTCTGAGCTTAATCCACATACAACATACATCTCAGGTCGAAAATCACAATATCAACGAGAAACCCCCCCCCCCCCCCCAACTAACCGAGATCTGTAGTCATTAATTTGACTTGTCTCCAGTCAAGATGACCTCATATGACCCCAACCGCATCGCCAGCATCATGCTCTCATGGCACTCCCTCGACCTCGTCTCATGCACCAGGCTGCAGACCCTGTGGGCCGGGTACGGCCAAATCTGCGCCCTCACAGCGAGAGCCACAACTTCCCAAGCCGCCGAGCATCTCAGTAAGCTGTGTGGGGTAGAACCAGGCGTTGCGGGAACGACATATCCGCTCATCCTGAAGCTCATCTCACCGCCCCGCAAAAACACCACCGTAGATGAGGGTCATCTACGAAAAATGCTCAGCTACGAGGTAGAGCAGTACTTCTATAGCGAGGTAGTTCCGCAGCTGGGGGACGACATAGCCATAGCCAAATGCGTTGCCTCGACACGCGACATGGACGACGCGGAAGGCCCGTCGGAGCTGAAAGGTATTATGGCTACCATCATGGTCGATTTGCGTCCCGGGTTCCCTGTCGCTGGCGAGAAGAGGGGGGCTCTGAATGGCACACAGGTGCGTGCGGCGCTAGACTGGCTGGCTGGCTTTCATAGTCGCTCAAGAGGACTGTTGCCAGCTAGTCTTGAAGGGTATGTTCTACCGCCGCTTGAAGAAAGCCGTAGACGACAGAAATCGGGCAAAGGTGTTGGGGGTGGGCTGTGGCTGAATGGAGGATATACGTACCTCGCGACACGGGGGACAGAGTACGCATCTCTTGCGCAGGACACGGATTCGGAGTGGTCAGATGCTCTGTGTAAGCTTTCGGACGGGAGCTCCCGATCGGTGGCGGAGATGGTTGCAGTATTTCTAACGCCCTGTGGACGGGCGATTGAGTCATATCTCCATGGCGATGTCAAGTCAGAGAATCTCTTCACGACGACTAGTGGAGACAGTGTGGCGTTCTTTGATTTCCAGTACGTCGGACTAGGTCTCGGAGTCTGCGACCTTGCTAAATTGTTTACCTGCTCGGTTCCGCTGCATATGCTGGTGGATGGCAATGGGATTTTGCCCGAGCAGCTGTCGATGTGTAATGGTGAGAGGGGACTGCTAGAGCGGTATCGGATGAGTCTCCTCCCGAAGGAGGAATCTGATGAATCGGAGCTATTCAAATGGGAAGCGTTTAAACGACACTGGGAGACGGCTTTGGTTGACTGGTGTAGATTCCAGGCTTCGTGGGGATTTTGGGGAAATACAGAGTGGCTGGAGGCCCGTGTAAGATCTATCTTGAATGACCAGGAGTGGAGAGATTGGTTATCTCAGAATATCCGCAGTCGAGTATAGCTTCGCTATTCGTATAGCCCAAAAAAAGGCACGAACCTTTTGCTTTACTTCCACTGTACATCAGGATTGCCTCTACACCGTTAGTTCAGGACTAGACCCAGTCCTTTTTTTTTAATCCAGGCTATCCTAGCCCCTACATAGTTACTGAGGTAAAACAAAGAGTGCTGTAGTATCATCTAGCATAGTCTGCTCGAGAGATCAAGCAAAAAGTAAGCACGAAACGTAATTAGGAGTACAGCTTGTGTGATTGTCGCCTGCGGAAGAAATACTCCATGTAGTATGATCAGATGTGGACCTGCCTGGGCCTCACAGCACGATCGGCGCCCACGAAGAGCCATTCTAATTGGTCGATCTGATATCTGTAAATCCACTGGGTGTAAGACTACGTCGACCTCCACGCTTGCACAACTTGATTGTGCACATATTCCCACGGCCAGCCATTTTCCCTTTCCGTTCGACGAAGAAGATCAATCAGCAAACCCTGTACGACATGATCTTCCACCCATGAACCGCCTATAGCCTTATTAGTAAACTCTCAAGTCTCAGATTCGAGCGAAACCCACAAGCAAAAAGTGCATGGCAAGCTGTGATACGCAGTGAAGGATCGTCATCGGCAGATATGGCGATTCCGAACATGAAATTCAGCGTTTCGGCGAGATCGTTCTGTCAGAGTCAGCATGGAACAGAGAGGGTTGGAGAAAAGGAGCGGACCCTTAGTTTGACAGGCTGCTCGAAATTCAACATGCTCCGATCATAAAACTCGAGTTCACGAATGAGCATCAGCGATTTGGTGAGACAGATGTGTTGAATCGCAGTAGCTGGACCCGGAATTAGCAGATCATCCACCGCCGAGATCTATCACATACCATGCCACAAACTCGTATACCAAGCAACAGGGAAAGGCTTCCCACTCCCAGGATCCGGCGGCGAAACATGCAACGGCATAAACGTATCAGGTCGGCTCAGCTCCCAATCACGAATTCGATGCCGGAGCGCAGTCTCCCCCGGGCTTCCGAGTCTACCGTCGTAACTTCGGCCCGAGATATTAAAACAGAAATCGATAGTCTCAGCCAATAACCATATCGCCCGGTTTGTCCAGTCTCCATCGTTGAGGGCAGGTTTGGCAGCCCACCATCGTCGCAGGCGGTCATCGAATGGGGCGAATGTTAGCCGCAGGCATTTCTGGTAGGTGAGCGCGAATTGAATATCTTGAATGACGTAGGCCCAGAAGGAAGCCGATGCCAGTCCGCCCGAGATAGCAGAGTCCACGTGGGAGCTGATATACACTGAACCGGCTAGGAGATGGTGTTGTTGGTCATTTGGGGGACTATGGGCTGTTTGGTGGATATTAGCCAGACGAAGTAATTTTGCGTGGAAGATGGTGGTCCACGCACAGGAGATTGATTCGAAAAACCGTAGAATGACCGTTGAGGAGAGAAGGATGTCGATTCCGATTTCGAACTCGGGCTTATCGAGGACCGAGAGCATGATGGAGATACAGCGCTCATGGTATCCGTGCGCGACGTTGTCGGCAATAGAATTTGTTGTTCGGGATAGGTGACATGCAGAGACTGCTAGACATGCATACAGTAATAAGGGAGAGTGAGTTGCGCGCTCAATGACGTCTGTAGAGAAATGTCGTTCGGGGTTAAATGCGTCAAGCTGGGTTGTCTTAGTTTCATAATGGGGAATTGGGTAAAAAAGGGTCAACTTACCCACGGCGCGAGGTATTTTTGAAAATGCCGCAACAGAAAGGCTTCGGTAACATTTGATAGCTTGGACTGGCCAATGGGCGTGTTAGGTGCACATGGGGAATTGATCGAACCCGATCTGGAGCCCAGTTGAGATCCTGCAGTATAAGCAGGAATGAGGTTGGGAGTTGCCAACGAAGAATCCATCGTTGATGGAGGGGTCGAATGTGCAGACGATGACCTCGAAGTTGACACCTGCCTAGTCACCGGTATCACATAGTATTCAGCTGCCGTCTGATCTGTTTCATCCTTGAAGTCGACTATACGAAATTAGTATATCGATCCACAATCAACACGAGCCTAATCCACGTACAGTTGGAAGACGTCTCCACCCAGACCTGGTCGTCCGGAAAAGCAAGATCACTCTCGCCATATCTCGGGGGCCCCTTTCCACGCAGCGATGGATTCTGGCCGTGTCGGAAAGAGACCTCCTCAGATTTTCCGGGGGCAGGTACACATTCGCGGCCAGAGCGTTGACAGCGAAGACATTTCGAGCCAGATTTATCACCTGATTTCGGTTAACATGGACGGTAGAGATGGTAGAATCCATACATTTCAGATGGCGCAGACGACATGTGAGGCTGAAAAGGTGGATTAGTCGAGGTCGAAGATATGGACTTTAAAAGAACTGACCACCCCCTCATTACGCAGTCAAAAGTACAGTCGCAAACGAAACCTCCTCGAAAGCATATTTAGAATGACAGGCGTAGATGGATAAAGAAGAAAAGTCCAGTGTGCTTCAACTCATGATATTCGTTGAAGACCGGAACCGGGGATGGGGAGTAAATTGCCAGAACAACGGATTGCAATTCTCTCGGTTTTTTTTGGGGGGGGGGGGGGGAGGGGAGGAGGGGGGTATATCCAGCGGCTACTCCATTTGGATTTGGAGATTTGGAGATTAGTTTGAGAGTAGCGCTAACTGTGATTGAAATGTAGAATAGCGGAGGGGGGATTTTAAGGTAGAAATTCGCTGAAGTCTCAGAAATATAGCTCAACCTGGAAACCATTCACTCAACACGTCCTAAAGGGACCTTCCATGAAGTCTAGGCTGAGTTTCAACTGGGTCGAATTGACACGACTCCACCTATTGGACTAAGATTGAATCGATTTCTGATCTTTTACCTAACCAGAAAAGATCTTGGGACATGTCATGGAGACTGCGGCTTTTATCGGGTTCTCGGCATGGGAGTCGGCCGATGCCAAGTCGTATGGCCGAGACCCCTTTTTCCTGTGTTTTCTGTGTTTCCTGTGTTTTCTCTTTCCTCTTTTCCTCTTTTGCTATAGTCTTCACTCACGGCGTAAAGGAGTGTCTACCCCTGGACAGTGGCCCATCTGAAAAACGGACCGGGACTCCATCCAAAGACTCCAGAAATTGGAAACCGTCCATTTGTCAACTTAAAATAGACGTGAAAAGGCGTTCGACAAGCTTCGGAGTGAAATCAGGAACGAAATTAACATGGAAGTGATTGACCTTTTTTTTTTCCGTTGCCGATTGGGTCTCACCGGGCCTGATTCAGGAACCCGGAAGAAAAAAAAACAAAAAAAACAAGGTGGTCCAACCAGGTGAGAGAGGTCTCTTGAACAGGGACTTGGTTATTATTCGCTCGATGATACCGGTAACACTGTGTCTGGATTGGATTGCCTGGCTTTGTGGGTCAGCTTTTGTCGTGAGATTTGGGGTTTGTTTTTTTTAAAAAAAAAAGAAAAAGACAAGAAAAGAAATGCTTAAATCCGTTGTGTGGAAGAAAGTACTCTGGACTAGCCTGTCGACCTTGAGGTTACTTCCCCGAAGTGTACTTCCGTACTAGGAGGTTAAAACCAAGTGATTTGCATCTGGATATGTGGGGTACAATTCGTTATCAGCTGCCTATTTAGGCCAAGTGCTCCGGAGAACAAGACAGCCCCAATAGATTCATTTGATCAGTGAAGTATCTATCCATGGTTGGAGCGAAGGGAAAGGAGGATGAGTTGTGGGGAGAGAAGAGAGAGGAAAGGACTTGTTTTATAGTGATGCCTGAGATTGATGCCTTGGACGCCTTGAATAGAAGGCATCCCTACATCTCGAGCTCTTCCCAACTTCCAAGGTTCTTGTCGTGGGAGCTCCTTGCTGGCCTGGTAGCTCCTAGAGAGCTTCAAATTACAAACTTACTCGGTTGAGTATTATTGTGAATCTCAGTACCCCATCACTGAATGAGAATGCTATTATCATGTCCCTAAATCGTATCTCCTTCCTGGAAGGATGGGAGCGCAACCCCGCAGCCTTTCTCAGCAACCCAGAATCGGAGGATTCGGATCCGGACTCCTACCAAGATCTGCCCGAAGGATCCGTGGCATCTTCATTTCCCTCCACATACGGCATATTGAATTTCAACCCGTATTCGGGGCCAGGTTGGAATGAGAGCCCGGAGGAGCCACATGAAGATCGATTCTCGTTTCTCGGGCCCTCGTTCCTTGGACTCTCACCGACGAGTACCCGTGACGGACGTGCGGGTGCATGTTCAGCGCAGAGGCTGGGATCTGCAGAGCGGACTGTGCACCCGGATCCAGGGACGACCGTTGCTCGGTCGCCTTGGGTGGATACCACGGGTGCCTATGAAGTAAGCACTGTTAGAAGGATTGGTAGGTGAATAGAACTCTCGCTTTTTATACTTCTTTTAATTATACAGGGACATGCTAACTTGTCAAAGCCCAGGTTTGGACGGCAGTTGTATACTGTTTCCTAGCTGCTGGAGTCGTTTTCGGCTTTGCGGCTCTCAAGCCCATCCTGATTCGAGAGAAAGTATATCGCAACCTCTGCTCCGAAGCGGAGCTGAAGGAAGATGTCGATGTCTGTTATGGACAGGAGATCCGGTATGTTTAATACCCTGATTTCAGAGCTTATATACTTACACGTAACAGATTGAACCTGATGTTTACCATCGCCGCTGTAGTAACCAATGTCTCAGCCCTGCCCGTAGGAACCATCCTAGACACGTATGGACCACGAGTCAGTGGAATTATCGGCAGTCTCTGTCTCGCCATTGGAGCAGTGCTCTTTGGGACAGCCAGCACGCTTCCATTCGATGGATACATCCCAGGTTACTTCTTTCTCGCACTGGGTGGACCATTTGTGTTCATTCCATCTTTCCATCTCTCAAATGCTTTCCCCACCCGATCCGGCCTGATCCTATCAATGCTGACAGGGGCTTTCGATGCCTCGAGTGCTGTATTCCTGATTTTCAGGCTGTTAAGCGACCACACCGGAGACCTCGTATCAATCGACAATTTCTTCGCGGTGTACCTCATCGTGCCAATGTTCATCATCGCAGTACAGATCTTCATAATGCCAACAACATCGTACAAAACCGCAGGTGAGCTCGTGCAACAAGCCGAAGCGCAGGTCGCAGATGAGATGCACGATCGTATAGACGAGTCCAACGACCGCAGCGAGAGCGAGCGCCAGCGTTTAAACCGTCGACTCCATCGCCAAAACATCGTCAGCAATATCCAAAATCTGCTAGACAATGGGACAGCATCTGTGTTATCCGGAAATACCATCAACGACGCCGTCTTCCACACCAACATCGACGCACCACTCGACATCGATACCACTACTAGAGGAACCCACGGGACTACAACCCCTCACTCCCACACGCAAGAACAACAACAACAATCAACAACCCCCAATCCGACACCAGGCGGGATCTGGGGCGTTCTTCACGGCCACAGCGCACTGTACCAACTACGCACACCATGGTTTACACTGATAACAACCTTCACAGTTCTAATGATGCTACGAATCAACTACTTCGTCGCAACGCTGCGCTCACAATACACCTACCTGCTCTCCGCCGAGACAGCCGCACAAATCAACTCCGCCTTCGACATTCTCCTACCAATCGGCGGACTCGTTTCCGTCCCGTTGATCGGCACGTTCCTCGACATCTTCCAGACACGCACTGTGTTATTTATCCTGGTGGTGCTGGCAACTACCATTGGTGTGCTGGGTTGTATACCCCATCCGACCGCGGCATATGGAAATATCATTCTCTTCGTGTTATACCGACCGTTCTATTACACCACTGTATCAGACTACGCGGCCAAAGTGTTTGGATTTGCGACGTTTGGGAAAGTGTACGGGCTTATCATTTGTCTTGCGGGTGTTGGGAATTTTGCGCAGGCGGGACTTGATGCGCTTACGTTGAGGGTTTGGAGGGGGAATCCTGTTCCTGTTAATATTGGGCTTACGGTGTTGGTTGCTGGGGTTGGGGGTTGGCTTGTTGGGTTTGTTGCTTATCAGACGGGTCTTTTGGAGGTAAAGAGGAGGGGTAAGGGTGATCACCCTGGTCAGAGTTCGGATGCGAGGGAGAGGGAGCCCTTGTTGAGAAATGAAGAACGCGGGAGAGGGTATGGGGCTTGAGGTTCTGGGTTTAGTTGATGTAGGAGAGTCTAGTTAGCTGTGATATTTCTTCTCACCAAGTATACAAGAATGAACATGAACATAAGTGTAACCGCGATTGGATGTCGGTATGTATGTCTAGTGTGCGAAGAGAGGGGAAAGACTAGTAACTGTCATCAACATCAAATATCCAATCCTATAAATCTTTAGAATAGAACCTCGAAAGGTTGTGGTTTTTTTTCTTCTTCTTATTAGTTCCAACCAAAAAAGAGACATGCTATGTACGGATGCATCCCAAACATCCAAAGGCGACATCCAGGACGTAAAAAAAAAAAGCCACAGCCTTGGTCGGGTAATTTCAAAATCCAAATCTAGATCTCAATTTTTTTTTCACTATATCCATAATAATCCAGGAAAGGAAAAAAGAGTAACGCCCCGTGTGGGGGGAACCAGGTGATACTGTTCGGTGTTCACAACACGGCGGGTCTTGGACAATTTTATACAAATCCGATATCCAGTATGGCCGAATACATTGACGGGCATATCTACGTATGCCCCATCATCAAATTTCAGCATGTCACTGGTGATTGTCATAGTAAGTATCCCAGGGAAAGAAAGCCCAATTTTCACCATTTGTCCATTTCAGAGGATGACAACAGTAGTGAGAATGAGATGGTAGAGACAATGGTAGGGAGGCGACAGGGAGGATGAACTGCGTCATTGCAGCTGACAGCAGACCCGGAGAGGAAGCGAGTGATTCGCGCTTCTAGGGATTTGGAGAATTTTCACAATGCTGGAATCGGAGCTGCTCACTGGATGGCATAGGTATACCTGCTAGCGTTCTCTTGCCAGAGGGCCTCCGCGGCAGAATCGCAGGCAACGTCGTACCATAACATGGATGCGAGAACGGATTTGATGCTTTCCCATGACATCAATCCAGTCCCGCGGGTTATATCTCCCAGAGCAGTGGCGAACCAGGTGCGCTCGCGGGTATCGTTCGCTGCGATACCGCCGAGGGCCAAGACCCAGATAAGAGGGAGCCGCGCGGCTGGGGAAGTCCACAGGTCTGCGGAGGAGGGTTGAAGGAGGACCGATTGGATAAGGCGCGCTAGACGATTGAGGGGGGTGTTTTGTGCAGGGATTGGGAAGAGAACACCCACCCCGAAGACCAATGCCGCTAGGCGGCAGGCTTCGTAGGTGGCTGCGTGCGTGGGATGGGCGAAGAGCAGCTCTGAGGCCGGAGAGAGACAGAGGAGAGTATGTTGGGTTAGGTTGCGCTGGTCGACAAGCAAAGAGACATCGTGTGTGGAAGTCGGGCTCGCTTTGATGATGCCGATGTAAGTGTGCACCGCTTGGAAAGCTTCTGCCATTTGACGGGTGACGCCAATTTCCTGCAAATGGCCGAATCCCTGGGCAACATCTGATGGGCCGAAGCCGAGCAGCTCTTGGACGGACAAGCCCCTTCGGCAATCGGCGAGGGGCCAGAAATCAAAACATGGGTGGACGGAGAGGATACTGCAGCTCATGATATCCGAGCTGTGAAGGGTCAGTACGGTCAAGATGAAACAAGAAATCAACCGAGACATACAAGGAAATCGTCGCGGCTAGGCCCTCTGTGTGGATATTTGCCAAGCCGCCTCGCATTTTGATCAATTGCAACAATCCTTTGACATGGATCATGTTCGGTGGCAGACACCCGTAGACATCTATCCATTGTAGTCGCGGGAACGGCGGATTAAACGGTGTTCTGCGGTGCTGTTGTGCCGATTTCTCCTCTGCCTGATGATGAGCCATGCAAATGACACTGAGGAGAACAGCATCGCTGACCACGCGATCGGGATCGCGAACAGCCTGGTTGATCAGTTTGATCGATTCCATTTCACACAGCTGCAGCGCGCGACGTTCTCTTTGACCAAATACTGTCCCCGGCACCCAATTATTCTGCCATTGGACACGAAGGTGACACAGCGAACCAAACATGAACGCTGTAAACAAAGCCGGGTCCGCCATGGATAGATCGAACCATTTGCTAGCCGCGGCTCTAGTACTCTGTGGCCGCGGAGCGAGTCCCGGCCACACAACACCAGTGAGATAGCGCTCGGATAGATTGATCATATCTGGCTCGAAGTTCCTCGGGGCGGGGTATGTGGCGAACGGGTCGAAGACCCCAGAGAGGTTGCGTTCCAGCCGTTCCGGGGAAGAACGATCATTGAACCGGATGACCGCAAGGGCCTTCGAGGAGAATGTTGTCACAGTACTCGCATCGTCGCTGCTACTGCTATCGCTGCTATCGCTGGCCTGCGACGGTGGAAACGGCGAGTCTCGGTAGTCAGTCTGGTTGGGGCGGGAGACGTGCGTAAAGGTGAAGCTTTGACCGTGGTTTCCCTCACGATGGGAGCTTGAGGGGCGCGAAACGATGGTAAAAGAGGGGCCGAGACCGGCGTGATCAATGGTGGGTAAGGGGGGCACGGCGCTGCGGACGGGTCGGGCGCGTGGGTTAGAGTGGCCAGCGGATCGGTCCTTTGTTTGATCTGAAATCCAGCGTCCGACATGAGCACGCACCAGACGCTGGGCTTTCAATCGTTCAGTCTCGGAGGTAGGTCTAGCATTGACGAAATGGATGCCATCCTTCTTGGAGGACGGTTGTTTCTTTCTCGACGCCATTTCAGATCACATCACCGGCTTGGTAAGCGGTGAGAGATGAAGTATGTGATAGCTAGATGCTGCATGATCTTCAGAAGGGGGAGAGGTTTGAAAGATACAGTTCTAAACAGGAAATTGAAGATGATTTTGACAAGCCCTACACTTCGTATGGACTATCCCATTTCTGTCATCTTGAATTTGACAGCTCTGAAGGTGTTGGAGTGGGGAAAGATGAAGCAAAGAGGGAAGCTTGGGAGCTCGTGACCCGCTGATCTTTTTTTTGTACTTTTTTTTTTATTGCTCCTTTTTTTTTCGTTCTTTGGTCGATTATTTGATTCTGATTCTTCTTGTATTGTACTTTCACTCGATGAGTTGACTCTACAACATACTTCGTTCATATCTACGTATCACTATTCCGTGCATTTCTGATGATCCAGTCGTGTCTGCACTAGCCCTTATGTACATCAACGTACGAAGTACTCCGTACATTGCACGGAGTTTTTTTACCACAACATTCGATCTAAAAAGAGCAGACACCTCTCAAAAAGTTCAAAAACGTCTACTATGGTCCTATTCTAAAGTATTAGGAAAAGAACTCCGTCTAGCCGTTGAAATCCAACTCGACCATCCTAGCATATACGGAATAGTAAAATTGCCAAACGGGGGGCTGCTCCTTTCCATAATCTTGCATGGCCTAGACCGAGTAATATCCCCCTCGTTCCCCAGGAATCCCAGTATCTTGGACACAGATGGCTAGTCCGAGGAGAAATAATCCAGAATGCCGGACTAATACCTCACAAACAATATCTTGCGCGCGATAATACTGTCTGACGTTCCTGTCAGTCCCCGTCAAAATTCTACCAGACTCCCGGATGTGAAACCCCCTGTCCTTGGCAGTGGTATGAGGGTGCGAAGACTGGCCGGCTATACATTTCCACCTGTCTGTCGAAGCTTGACGGGAATATTAACCACGGCCTTTAAGCTTCTCTGACAGGGTCCATAATAAGAACCAAGAAAAGTGGCTCTTGTCGGTGGACCCCGTCGATCATGAGTTTAATTGTTCACAAGTGGCCAATCTGAGTAGGATGGCGACTGGAGGTTATAATTTTATCTAGATGTCTAGTTACTTGGAAACACTATTAAGTGTGTTTGATGGACTCCGTTGGTACAAACTGGATTCATTTGGAATAATTACCGTTAGGGGGCTCTTTTATGCAGCTACTTCACCCGAGTCTGTCAACCTCGATTTCCTTTGTGATGGAGCTGGGGGGAGTTTTTTTTTTTCATGCGCGCTAAGCGAAATATGAGACAAAAGCTGTATCCCAACTCAGTATACTTGGCGATGTTCAAGTCATCTACACGGACATCGAGTTAGCCCCGTCGACCGAACTCCACCGCCAACAATAACGATGTCGACATCCCGACTAGTGCACGAAGTTCTTCAGCGATTTTTTCCACCTGTAGACTTCGAAGACGAAAGACAAGGACCTTGCTTAGGGTCTGCCAATCTGCAGCTCACGACACCAATTAAACCCCGATTGACTCCGAAGTCCGAAATTGCGCAGATGGCGCCGAAAATCTCTCATCCCTGCAACACCAAGATGAGTGGGAATCATGAACAATTAGTACCGAACAGAAAGCTTGAAGGCTGGTGGGTGAGTCTAGACAATGCACAGTTCACTAGCGCTGGTTTCGAAAGTCGAACATGATGAATCCATGATGTGTACAGGGGGGTAGGGTTAGCGCTGACAATATCTTGGCAGGGTTTGCCTTGACTAAAAGACAAAGAATGATAGGTCCACTGGCATTGATTTTTCAAGATATCAATTTGGATTAGAGATGATCACATCTAATAATGTTGGTAATGAAGGGGAAATGATGAGACGTGTGTGTGTTGGAGGGGGGCAGATAGACGATTGGATGAGTGGGAATTTCAAATGCAAAAGCTGTCAAGTCCAGACTGGATGTGTAAAAAAGACATGGTTTTCTCGTGCAGATCAACGCAGAAGAAACCCAAGAGCATAATCCCCACAGACATGACCTCAACAAGTAGCGCCCCCCCCCCCCCCCCCCCCCCCGCCCCGCCACACTAACACGCATAGCCCTGTTACACCGCAGTCAGCGCGCGACTGAAGAAGTTAGACCTGCAGAAGATACGATAGGGAAGGAAATCATTTGGGACAACTCGAACGGTTTCATGATCTTGGCCACGGCGCAGCTAGGAATCCAATAAAAGTTCAATAGATAAGCATATGCAACCATGCCATGTACAATCGAGCTACAGAAATGCATGTACGAACGGATCATCCAGGAACAAGATACCAGTCCTAGTCCGGAAGAACTACCCGTCGAATCATCGCAGTGCGGGCTAGGCCTACTTAATCAATTTCCAAGAGGGTATACCGACAGCTCTCACCGGTCTGTGGATCGGTGTATTGGTCAAGTGCCTTCTCCACAGCAGCCATGTACCTGAGAACATGCTCTTCCTGCCAGCGGCGACCGACGACCTGCACGGCAGTGGGGAGACCAGCCATCTTGGCCGAGTCATAGTGTTTCCACGCACCGCGAGCAATGCCGTGGTTACAGCCCAGACGCTTAAGGGCGGTTTTGTACGGTGCGGCGAGGGCGTCGCGGATAGGGTCTACATGTCCAACGGGGATAACACCGGCGGAGTAGTCGAGCAGGTTCCAGAGAAAAGTGTAGCCACACGAGGAGACGGCGTCGTGCATGGCCTTATGCGGGAGAGCCGGGGTAGCGTTGACAGGACACAAGATGAAATCGAATTGCTGGGGCTCGGCATCCCACCACTTGTGCCAGACGGCGCGAAAAGCTTCGCGCTGGGCGGTTAGGGTCCACAGCTGAGCGGATGACTTGGGACCGAAGTCGCGGATGAGAGTGGCGGAGACCACGTCGCGGCGGACATAGCGCACGTAGAGGTAGTAAAGGTAGCGGAGCGGAGCGGGGAGGTGAGCGATGCGGGAGAGTTGGATGGCGCCTGGGTCGGAGGGTTCAAAGCTCTTGAGGTTGGCGTTGAAGTGGTGGCAGCCATCTGAGTTGAGGAGTTGCGAGGCAAGGTGCAGGCCGGTTAAGGGGTCTGCATTGGGTGGGGTGGTGATTTCTGAGACTGTGTGGCCTGCTTCGGTGAGGGCGGCTACTGTTGTTGCGATGGCACGCTCAATAGCTGGGGTTGGGGGAACGACGCCTGGAGATCTATGAGTGGCTGAATTACGGGATCGGGGTGACATAGATCATACGTACCATCCGAGGTCATCACTCCGACGCGAAGAGGCTTGTTTTGAGCCTCGGACTCGATCTCACTGCGCCAGGCAATGGGGTGCACAGTGTGGTCGTATTTCCAAGGCTCCATGAGAATTATGGCACGAGTGAAGTATGTCAAATCATCCAAGGTGCGGGCCATAGGACTAAATACACTGGGAATACCCTCCTGACCGGGCATGCTGGTATTCACGCCGCCCTTGGGCCAGCGGCCAGTACTGCAGCGGAGAGAATAAATACCACTCCAGGCGGCGGGAACCCGCACCGAGCCAGCCACATCGGATCCAATACCAATACGGCCACCCTGCGCCAGCAACGCTGCCTCTCCACCGGTTGAGCCACCCGGCGAGTATGCTGGGACATGTGGATTGCGGCATTGACCCCAGAGGCCGTTGTCTGACTCAAAAGAGAGTAGAGTGATTGGGAGAGCAGTTTTAGCGTACGGAACAGCCCCTAGGAAAGTCAGTACTCAATCCAGCGGGTAACAAAATTGCCTCTTCAGAATCAGGATCTTACCGGCATCTTTCAAGAGCTGCACCATAGGCCCATCTTCCAAAATAGGCTTTCCAGCCAGAGCTGCGTACCCCACACTTGCATCGAATCCCTTGACGTGAATAGAATCCTTTAAAGAAACCGGAATACCAGCCAATGGACCCTTCAGGTTGATCTCCGACTCCAGCCAAGCCTCGGCCTCGGGCAGCATCAGCTCGGTAATACAGTTAGTCCGCTCCTGGGCCCTTTTGGCTACCTTTCCATAGGTGCGAAGGACATCAAGTGGAGATACAGCTGAGACTTGGACCTCGTGAACAAGTTCCTCGATGGGCCGATTGATAATCTTTCGGTCCTGGTCAGCAATGCGGAGATGATAGTGGTGTGGAAGACCCGTAAACCGGAGTTCTCGTTCGGCTCGTTTTTGGTTGCTGTAGACATTAGTTCCAGATCAGAATCCAAGAATTTTAACGAACTAAAAACTCACCGTATGCGACGGTAGGTAAGGTAATCGAAGGGAGGCAACATATTGGCGGTGTGTGTTCCAGAAGAGAAGGGGGGGGGGAATCGGGGGTCTTATTCAATGCGGGGAAATGGAGAAGTGGAGAGAGCGAGAGGGCCGGATAGCCCCGAGATTAGCCGTGGATACATCCTTTGATAGTACAAGCTACGTGTGTATTGATTTTTTTTATGACATATTATAGGCCTACTTCACATTCGACCTGATGTCTGCTTTTGTGGAAAAGTCAGGACGTTGAACCAAATCCTTGAAGGCAACCAAAAGACGACGATTTGTCCGAAGAAGAGATGAGAAGCTACAGCCTCAGATACGCCGTGTCTGATACGGCAAGTGAAGCATGTGAAAGGGGAGATTTTTAGATCGACGATCTCCATGAGATAGACATAGAGGGATGCTTTAAATTGCTCTACTGGGTTCTACGTAAAAAGACCATCTATAAAATTTGCCAAATGCCGTGTGCAAGCGTGGCGGGTATATCTCCAATGCCATGCGAACTCCAAATCAACGCTAAACTTTCAAATCAACTCCTTCCACTAGCCAAAACAAGCTATCAAGTGGTACCCGGCCGGGGTTTGAGCCAGTTGTTCTTGGCAAGCCACCATAGAACCACACAGACAATGATAATGAGCACTACGCCACAGAAAATGACGAAGCCCCAGATGATGGAACGCTTGCTCTTTCGTCGTTCGCGGTCAAGCCATGATACCCTAGAGAGGTGAGCTGAGGTTCACCAGAAATATCGTAGCCTTGCAAATGGGAAGCGTCTTACTCATCTTGTTTTGAGTGTACTCCTTTGCCAACTGCTCTGGACTCTTCGTCCTGGTGGACCGCAGTTGAGAACCGTTTCCAGAAATATGGGTCTCGCACAAGAGCCATGATTGTACGTTGTGTGATTGAGCGGAGGTGGATGTGGTGGTGTTTATGGTCAATTGGATGTCACTAGGGATAGCCGCGGGACTAACTGGGGAAAGGCCAATCACCAATGTATGATGCAGGAATGAATCGTATGATCTAAATTCAAGTTTATGTCCAATTCATGAAGGAGATGTGTTCAATAGAAGTAGGGGGTTGAAAATGAACAGCAATTCACCGGCTAGCAGTAGAAAATCGTCAACAGGAAGTAGTTGGGCTAGAGGTATCAGCTGCACTTATCCTCTCCATAGATAGTCCTTAGGGATCAGGTCTTGCGTGTGGAATTCTGACTGTTGACACCTGAACATGCTTCCCCTAGGGCTAGAATACCAATCAAACCAGGATCGGCAGCCTGCCAGTTGCTGATTCGTGTAAAACATGCCCGAGGCTAGGTGATGGCCAAGAAATCAAGGCAGATAGAAACTCCGATGTGGGAATGGAGTGCTAGTACTGTTTATTATTGGGGGTGAATTGCAGTTCAAGCATGGCATGTCGATCACGGAATGTTGAAAACTCAAAATGTGAACGATGGAATTGTTGATCGCCGAGATTAAAGCAGTGAGAGTGGTCGATAGGGGTTTAGGAATGTGGACTTTGATTCGCTGCAACAGGGTTGAAGTTCAATCTTAAACGAAGAGGACCTTGTGGTGGAACTCGAATATGGGGTTGTATCTGAAATCAATTTCCGAAGCTGTTTCGCTCGGCCAACTGAGTGATTTCTAGACGTTGCATCGCAGAATGTTCGACAGCATTGCCCGAACAAAATCATATCACAAATGGGCCATGATCTGTAACACTCTATCGCTGTTGTGTTATCTCTTCATGCAATACAAATGTTGACTTGAATAGACACTGATATGGACGGTCTACCAGAGCTTTTCCATGTACGCAACGGACGAAGTTTTCTTAAGGGCACAACCCAGAGAGACCAAATACAAATCAAAAGTGAGCGAATCTCGTCTATGGGCAGGCAATAACATGCAAGCCTCAGCCGATGTAATGAAGATTGGAGTCCCCTTCTTCTTAGGACTTCCAGTCGAATTTCGTTCCTGAGAGAGGGTATCTAGATGATCTACTATGAAGTTGTACACGGCCTATCAAAGTAACCTATAGGTTTAAATTATGGTTTTGGTTATTTAAAAAAATGAGGGGGTTTAAATTTCATATTATACACTTGGTTTAATAGAGAAGAAGGGACTTTTACTATATCGGACGACTATATACTAGTCATGAGGGGTATTAGTTAGAAGCTCTGTGACTTCCCCGTTTGCTCCTAGTACTTAGTCTAGTAAGTGCCTATAGATAGTTTCTCTTTCTCTCCACGCATTTAGAGATTTTCCAGTTACATCTACATCTTCCTTTGTAGCCTATACATCATCTCTATCACTTTAAGAGAACCCTAAGTCTCTGGTAGCAATTCATTATAGCAGTTTTTTCTTGGTACAAGGGTGCAGGAATACGAGTTTTTTGTTCAGAGGATTTGCATAGGATGTGTTGCTTCCTGATTTTTCTTCCACCCTCTTGCCTTCCCATTTTGTTACCTCAGCGTAGAGTTGATGATGTAGATTATCTACACCACTTCTAGTGACCATAATGTGAATTTTTTTTGGACGTGTTTTTGCTGGATTTGGTGATTAGCGCATTGGTTATGTGAAAGGCTGTGAATGGAAAGCTCCCCGGGGACGACAATCTTGAACGGTATTGGATCACTTTTGCAAGGTTTGAGGGTACTTGCATATCAAAAGTACTTAGGTATTCAAAAAGGGCTTCAAGGGCCGATTGAGGCCTCAATTCATAAAATGTCTATTCGTTGTGGTATAAGTTTCTGGATTGTGTTTGCTCCGTACGTTTGCCAAATATAAATAAATATAAATAAAAGCAAGCCCGGTCTATGTGTCTAAAAGAAGAGGCGGCAAAGCAATTGCCGAGTCAAGCTAGAAGAAAAGTACTGTTTAGTGCAGCTAAAAGGTCTTCACCCGAGATTTGATATGATCTGATGCTCGACCTTTCTGTCAGCATAAGTTGTATATTCTTTAATATTCAGAAAGCTCTCTCTACCTAACCTCTACACATGCAGATGAGCTAGAAGATACTGCCTACAGTTCGTTTATGAACAGACAAGGAACTTGTAAATTGAATAACGAAGTTGTATAGCCTTGGAGACTAGACCCGATGCAGATACTCCGTATAGGTAAATAGCTTTCCCGTTCTGTGTGCAGTGGCATATAGACCAATCCACCATCATTGGGTCAACTCCTTGGCGAAACACACAAGACTGCGTCCGGGTGGCATATGATTTTTTAAAGGCAGGAAGCTCGGAATTATCATAGGGATCCCCGCCAAGGGAAATACGTGGAATAAACGTGGCGTAACAAGGTGTTGCGTAGAATTCAATCACTTCGACATAGGCTAATACATGCTTCTGATTGGTCCCTCTTAAGGTTTTCAAAAAAGAATTCATCTTTTTAGCTCTTAGGCGGCATCTATTTGTCGAAGAACAAAAGGATGGAGGGGCGGAAGATAGCAGTTCAAAGGAGTTAACGCTTCGTTTTTCTTCTTCTTCTTCTTCTTCTTCTTCTTCTTCTTCTTCTTCTTCTTCTAACACCAAGTTATCATGTATCAAAATGCACTCCATCACAGACGCTTCCAACTAAAAAGAGTAGCATAGAATAGAAAATGGAATTCATGTCAGTAGGATGGAAGCATCTAGACTCAAATCCAGTAGGAATGACGGGGCCAGGGCCTTGCTCATTGGGGAATAATCTATAAATCTATGGCCTCGACTGATCTGACATCTATTTCCATTACAAGGATTGAGTCAGGGTAGGTCTAAAACAGTTTAGTCAACAAACTTGTCCTCCCGCAATGCCGTTCTCTCGACTCGTCTAGAACATGCAAGATTTCGGGTCTCCCGTGCCGAGATATTTAGGCTGTTAAAAACTACAACTAGGTATTACCATCTCTTAGCTTATCTCCGGTGCTACCTTTCAACCCCCTCGATCTAGAGGTAATCACATGTCATCACAGTTCCGGATGTACTATCAATAGCACTTTCTTGTAGCCGGCGACCGCCGTTCACCACTACATGACGTGTGTAGCAACTCAAAGAAGTGTCCTGCATCTAGATAGCCCAATCATAGTAGTTTAGAAAGATAATACCTCAAATTCAAGTTAAGGGATAGGTATATAAAGTGACACAATGTCTTCAAAGAATGGCAAGAGGGACAGATGAAAGGTTTTAAACTTCAATTATCAAGTCCTATAAAGATCGAAGTCAATATTTCAACATGGATCATGTGGTGCAAAGTCTCTCGAGTGATATGGAATGCTCCTCTGAAGAGTTTATCGCGACTCTATTGCATGGGAAGCCCGAGCACCAACACTTGGATGTGTTGACCGACTTGTTGACCAAAACTTCCGAAATTGATGAGCGTGTTGCTTCATCCATCAGTGCCGCTTGGCACTGGATCTGTCAGAAAGACCTTTGGTCTACGAGGTACGAGAGCCTCAGCGACTACCGGAAGGCCATTGGATACACGGAAACTGTACGACCGATCGTGCAGCGACATAAGAAATCGGAGCTAGCGAAAAGATCAAGTATCCAAACAATCTTTCGCTACTGGAGAGTTCCATTCGACGAAGCTCTTCCGATTGAAACTCGCCCCTTAGCTTGGAGCAAACACTTGCTCTCACTGACAGCATGTTTGAGCAAGCACAGAAATCATTCAGAGTCACTCTTGCTGCTTGAAAAAAGCATGAAGAACAGACCAGAACGCGGACGCACTAGAAATCGACTCGTGGCAAGTGACGTTCAACGGGCACTGGAAAGCTTAGGGATACCACAGACACGCTTAGCAAAACGGGGATGTAAGTTGTGAAAGACTCTAGTTGGACCCCCTAAGAATACAGCTAACAATGTTTCAAGCAAGATCACCCCGAATCTCCTCAAGCTCAGCTCAAAACACAGGTACCGATCATGCCACCGAGTCTGACTGTTCGCCTTCTACCAACCAATCGACACTTTCTTCCCTTCACGATACACCATCGCAAAGCCAGTCACCGTCGGGAGTCTCACCGACACAAAGGCTACAACTCCACAAAGATTCAAATGAATGGCAGTGGTGCGGATGTATTCCTGTATGCTTGCCACTGATCGCACTAATCACTACCCCCCAAGCGAGATTCGATACGAAGCTTCTACTGGCATTGGTGATCTGGGCATACAAAATATCATGGGGTAGCTTTTGCTCCGAGCATCTGATGCGTTTGGCCCGCTTAATTCCCACAGAAGGCCCACTTGATAGAAGTAGAGCGGATATTATTCAAAAATTGGAGGCTTTCTGCTGCTCCCAGGGTTCCTACCTTTCCATGAGTACGGCCAGTTTCTCCTGTACAACTGACTGATGTATGAGATGTTCAGTCGGTGCCATAAATCTGCTAACTTGACGTTTCTGATAGGCGACCATATTTCTACCTCTACCCCAAACCTTTGTTCAAATACGGAGCTGTTATGTCGCTATACTGGGTCTGCGGATGCGTGGTGGCGTTGGCAAAGGGATGGATATATCCATATCCCCGGGTTTTTTTCCTACATGGAAGAGCTTGGTGTGTTTGAGCGGGTCCAGACATACCTTGATAGAAGCGGTACTAAAGAAGATACAAACCCGGCTATCAATCGAGTTGCCATCCAGCAATGCTACAGGATGATATCTCAAGTGGTACAACGTGACCCGGCGTATTATGCTGTGCTAGCCGCATGCAGACCGGACCAAAATCGAAAACTCATCTATCGTCCACCACAGTACCAACGAAGCACTGTTCCCCAATGTGACGATGTAGGACTCAGTATTTCAATCGATCATACTAAGTCCCTAATGCAAGGAGAAGGTACAAGCGACATCCAGAGTACTATCATATTGCCGACCTGTGAGACTGCGCAAAAGATCCGACTAGTCCCAGTGTTCCATCGGAAATTCAACTCATGGTTGCAGAGCCCGCTAGGAATGAAATATGGGGATGGATATAAAGTATTTGGTAAAGCCCATGATATTGCGGTACAGCCGGGTGATTTGGTTATATGTCTCCCGCACATTCTCCGATGGCCAATGACATTTTCCTCAAACTTTCTCAGTCTGTCACAGATCGGACTGGACAACAGGTTATCCAGACACCTCGAAGAGAAAAATGAGAGTTATGGTACGAATAATTATGACAGGGTCTTGGAGCAGCCAGAGCCACAGTTTCACACGGCCAAAAGAACAGCACACGAGTGGAATTCGACCAAAAAGGACCTCACTGAAGACAGCTGGTGTAGTGCCTCTAGTGCCATAGGCCAGGCAATTGAAGGTCGTCTGGATTGGGATAGTGACAGAGCAAGAGAAGAAATGAATTACGTTCTTGGTTCCAATGAAGCGACAGCGGTCGAATTTGTCGCGAAGTCACGAGCACAATTGACGAGGCAATTTCACAGGCTTTGTGATTCCATTGGGCAGGGCTCTGAGGTTAATTCTGGTATGAAGCATTCTTTGCGGCGTATGTCAAGAATAATTACTGAATTGGATCCAAGATTGCGGAATGAGCAGCTATGAGGAACGAGATGATGCACCGGAACCTTTCCAAGGTCTGAATGAACATTTTGAGACGCCGGTGTCTTTCGTCGATCCTTTAACTTCAATTTCACCGACATGGAACACTCCTTCTTTAGATGATATGATAGCAGACTTGGACCCTACCTTTTCTCGACAGCATTTGTCTTTCGATTTACCTTGAGGCTGCATAATCGTTCAGATTGCTCTCACTTCGGATCACTCCCACCCTATCAAATTAGGCATTTGGCCTTTGGCCGCTCTGCCCCATCGCACCTAGGATCCCCGACTAGGTCGGCACACATGAATCCCAGCAGAATAGCCATACTCTTGTGTGCATTTTCGTTTATGGAGAAATCATAAAGCTGGCTCTTCTTGATCTTCAGACCTTGGTAACTGAAATTCGCTTCAATCACTCGGGCTTTCATCTGACCGAAGATTGTGATCGCCATGGCCTATGTTATAATAGATTGATATTAGCATGGAGGATATAAGTGTATTAAGGCTATACTCACGGGAAAAGTAATGCAGTCTAGAAATGCCTCGCCTTCTAGTCGAGTGATCATCGCTGCGGTGAGGGTCACAACCTCTTCCCGGAACAGCTCTTCGCTAGGCTCCTCTCCAATTACAATGGTAATCATAATGTACGGGGGTACTCCTGACGGACAAAGGAGTGTCCTTGGCACAAGCACATTGCCTGGTGACCATCGAATGGATCCCCAAATAGCTGTGTAGAACCTTCTAGCAAAAACGGACCGCACAATATCACCACGAAAACGCGTACATTAGTATCAGTGTTATATTGTAGAGGCCATAGGTCTCTTACCATTCTAGCCATTTCAATAATTGCGAGAGCTTAGGCGGAACTCTACTATCACCGGGGGTGTAGTACTGTCGAGGGAACTGGAAGAGCATCCACTCCAAGCATGAAAGAACATACGATGCTTGGGCTTGAAGGTCCTGAACCAATGGATTTTCTCGAATGCTCTCCCAGCTTTTGGTGATTGACCTTAGTCGTCTTCCGTGTTCGGTATTGGGAATTAAAGGGCGGACCCACGAACCACCTTGAGGTTCAAAGAAAATCGGGGCGGAAGGATCAGAGTTTGGGGGATCAAGATGGTTTCCAACATCATCTAGCTCAAGTAATCGACAATCAATGCCAAGAACCTCGTGGGAGGAGGGCTTAATCTGAGTGGTGCTGTGAATTTCGACCTGGTTTTAAACTTCACAAATAGCGCTAATCAGTTGGCTGCGGACTTTTTGGTTTTCTGCAGCGCATCGGTGGGAGCGCAACGTGAATGTGGGGGATTTGGTAGGCATACTGGTTGACTAGGGTTACAGATAAATAGCAAAAAGGATGTTCGATGGAATGGTGTGGTGGTTGGTTAAGTGTATCTGGTGTCCTCAATGACCAGGTAATGTGTAATACATGCTGTCTCTCTTTGGCTAGTTCCACTACTCTTAATGTGAATGGTGGCTGTCTACCCTCATCTTCCTCCTTTGGGGTTTCTAGAACCTGTATCTCCTCAACGCCACATCTGCATATTGAAGTATGAAGTACTTCTCAAATATCCCGAGCATCGATGGAGCTGTCAGAAATCAGACGAAGTCCATTATTGACCAGCTCGAGGAGGCCTATCGCGATGCGAGCTTCGCTGATTTCGTATAGGCATGTGAATTCTTTACTATCTCCGCGCTTGGAGAAGCATATTCAGCGCTCTCAACCCCGAGCGTTCAATTTAACATCCTCGGCGTGGCTTATTACGTCAATGCGATGACGATGATGACCATATACCCATATTACCGGAACGACCAAGCCTGGGACATAATGAGCCCCTTTTACTTTTGGTAAGGTATTTAGCCATCATTGCTTGTAGCTCATGAAATAACGATAACAGTCCCTGTTTTTTTTTTTCTCTTAGACCGAAGTCATTCGGCATTTCTGCTAGTCGGCAGTGCTATGCGTCTGGGCTTAACTGTGAGTCTGAATCGCAGTATCCCACAAAGCAAGTGCCCAGACCCGGTTCAGCGCGAGCATCGAACTAGACCATGGCGAGCGATATATGTATTCAACCGAATTAATGGCTTGAAGGTAGGCTTGCCGATTCTAATTTTCGACGCGGACATCTACATTGACATGCCTTCAAATGTGCCTCACTCCTTGAGAGAAATGAGCAACTTTTGCCCCCGCTGCAAGAAAGACTCGGGGAATCACTTTCGGCTATACACACGGTCAATGACCTGACCTGTGGTATTCTCCAACTCTATACTGGCCATGAGTAATTCAGCCTCAGAGGTATGATTGCACCATTGGAAGAGGAATTCAAAACAGTACCTTTTTCACTGCCATTATCGGCCGAGTATAGGCATCGAGCAGATATTTGTTGCCTAGATAAGTTCCCCTTGATTGAGAGGTAATTGGTGATTAGGTTATACAGCGCCATATTGAGGCTTCACAGTCATGCAACAATGGGTATGGATGACATCAAGTCACTTGTATCTTGTTTTTGTCTGAATTATCTAGATATGAGGCATAAAATCATCCTGTTGTAACTTAAATCTTATCATTGTTCATCTATCGATCTGATCTATATCAGATCAACTTTCATAGTTCGCAGTTCTTTGGTTTCCCCGCAGTGGGTCCCATGTGTGCCTGACCGCTCTCTTCACTCTCTTCGCTACTGTCACCTCTCTCTTCACATGCGCCCAACCTCAAATCCCGTGAGATGAGATGCTTCGATGCATCTTGCATGCACTTCTCAATACATTATACCCCACATTCATGGCTTCTGCGGATATTCACTGGGGTACATTGATCAATTCAGACAAGAGCCCAGCCCCACTGCTCGAACAGCTATGTTTGGGGATCGCCCAGTTGATGGTATGCTCTAGACCCTCTGAAATGGAAACCATACTAACTTATCCAAAGTGTACCTTTGATACCAACATCACCACCGATATCACACCCGAGAGAATTGCTACCTTTTACCGCAAAGTCGGCGGCAACTACGACCCTTTATTCCTTGAGACCAAGGGACAAGCTCTGTCATTTATCTACCAGTCACTAGGTTGTTTCCACAGCCTTCAGCCCTCAGTCAATCCCTACGAGCCCCCATCGATTCCCTCACTGCTACCGAATGGCTTCGTGCGATGGCAGACGATTCAACTGTTGATGGGCCCAGATGAACACTCGGTGTACTTACAAAATGCGGTCAATCTTTGGAATATTGCAGATGTCAATGGGGAAATCTTTCCAAAGACTATTCCTCGAGACGCGTTTCCTTCTGAGCCCGACCCAGAGATGCTGGAATGGCATGAAGGAGTGAGTCGGCGATTGGAGCGTGACTATTTAAAAAGACACACGAAGCATGCTTCGCCGCCAGACTTTGGGACATTTCATTACCATTTTAGTGGAAAGGATCCTTTGCCCGATGAAGATGACTATTTCTCCCATCCACGTCGGGCGACGTCAAAGCGTCGCAGTCATGTGGAGCCCGATCGGCCCAGCGACCATCGCCATCACCGCCGAAATTACAGTGGGGAATACCCCGCATTTTCTACACGTAGACCTGGAGCAAGTCGACCGGGCTTTTCAACCCCGAGAGTTCCGTCCCCTCCCCCATGGGGAGAGCGTTCGGCACGTTCAAGTGGACGAGACCAAGGGAGCCGGCACAGTCATCCACTAAGCCCAGGGACAGGTGAGGTCCCTTCTGTCTCTGATGTGTCTTCAGATGAGTCTGTACGCCACCGCAAGGGTCGTGCAACCCCGAATAGGTGCCAAGATCGACGTCATCTATCACCACCTTCCAATAGTAGTGCTAGACGCCACTCCCACGAAGCCTACACCCGCCGACCATTCCGAGATCTTTCGCCCACAAGTCCGAGCCGACAGCGCCGCGGGCACGAAAGCCATCCGTCCCGATCTAGCAAATCTCATTCTGAGCCTTCGCCAAAGGTGCACCCAAGGGATCATCCGAGAAATAGGGATCCGAGAGATTACCTAACCGAAAATCCAAAAGACCGATCTCGACCATGCGCAGCAGGTGTCAAATTCCGCGAATTCAAATTTGGCGACCCGGCTGCTGCCCCTGCTGCTCCAGATCCACCATCCTACCGGTCACCAACTCCTCCTCCACCACCACCAAGAGCGGTACCGAGACATCTAGGATCTTCTTACGCCACAGATGACAAGAGAAGAGGAAGCTACAGTGGTGGCAGCACAGGTAATAGTCGACCGAGTAGTGGAGTAAGCGGGTCTGAGCGGCAGCGATCATACAGCAGTGCCGGATTCCACCCCCACACGACCGGATGGGCGAGCCCTCGAACCTCGGCTTCAAAGCGATATACCCCAGCGACTGTGCCTGAGGATGATGAATACTTCCCCTCGCGGAGAGTCCCAATTTACGAATAATTCCAACGACTGATACACGTTGACACATTGAACGAATCTCTTTGCCATGTTTTCTCATCTTTTAGAGCATATGAGCATCTACCTTCTTTTGGCTCTACCCCCTATGTTTCATCATGTCTCCAACCCTTGCGTTTGGCATCTCATCTCTATCACGACAGATCTAGTATTCCACTCTCGTTTTTGGGAGCCCTTGAAATTTGGTGATTGTTTCTGCTGATCAATTTTACATCTTTCTCACTAATGACACTCCCACTTGCAATGAACATTAAATTTCAAGCTCAAAATAAACCATAGCACACAAAGTAAACCTCATGGCACAACGTGTAGATCCCGTGATGGTTGAGACTACATCGCGAACATAGATCAGGGTACATCGCATGATGACCAATCTCCAGGAGTGATGAAAGTTAGCTGTAATAGTTGCGCAATCTTATCTCTATCGGCATAAAGTTGTCCAATGGAGCGATTTGATGTCTGTCCTATTTCTGGGGCAATTGATTTTGAGCAAAGAGCGCGAGGGAATCCCAATGCTCTGAGCCGATAGTTTCATGTGGCGACGATCACGTCACGGCGGTTGGAAAGTTTTCCCCCGTTCTAATCTATCACAGCCGCAGTGCCTTTCGTGAATGCACCTCCGGACAGATAAACAGCTACGGGGCGAAGCGCGATGTTCTGCATATCATCGGGAGGCAGTCCTTGGACGTTTCACCGATGGGCACAACGCTAAGGACGGAAGGAGATTGGATACACAAATCTCCCATGCTAGTCGCATCGATGATTTTCAGACCTGTGCAAGCTTGCGGTGGAGCAAAGCGCACGTAATCGACTGGGGGGGACTAGCAAAGAGCTCGCCGAGGAAGCGGAAGGATCGCACCTCTCGATATCTGGTTATGTTATGCTCATTGTATATCACGCTCAGCTTTGTTGTTTCCCTCGTTACTTGATCGAGAATGGTTTTGAAGGACGGGGTTTTAGGTACAGAAGGCTGATAACCTCTCTCTACATTGTTTCTGTTTAACCTTGCGATGGGAGGTCGAAAGAGCAAAGCCATTCTTGTAAGCGTCCTGTTCGGTCGACAACCACAGGTCACTATCGGCTCCTAGCTTTTTGTATATAGGAGGTAGTCCAGCTCACAATTGGTTTCAGTTTGACTGCCGTTTTGCCTCTAAGACCAGGAAAAAGCTTCTCGCCGATGGTAGTGTATTTTGCTGTGCACCAGCATGGCTTGAGGGAATAGGTGCTAAAACGGCTGATGTGCCATTCCTCTGAGGGCCAAGGTTGTAGTGCAGAACTACGAAGGACGCCACGGAGTGCAACATGGGGGTGGCGCCCCTTGGCCAAGTCCTAGCTGAGGAGAGAAATTGCGAGCAAGACCGACTTGGGCCTCATCTCAAGAAAATTTTATGAAAGGGCTGAGTTTGATGGATAATTTAGATACCTTTCTAGAATTTGGGGGTGGACCCGCGCTTAGTTGCGTTATACTTCACGGAGGTTCCGGATTTAGTCACAGTCGTCTTCCTCGGCCTTGACCAGCTATGAAGCACGTTGAAGCGGTAGGGATTCAAGTGAAGTTTCGTTGCTGGTACAAAAGTGAAAGTACAATCGATTTTGCAGTTACTAACCTTTACCTAGAGGTCATGGCTTCGAAAATCCCATCCTTGTAGTGCCCGATTGTGTACTCCATGACTCGACGAAGGGTTCTCAAAAGAGACGTGATATGTTTTACACTTGTGATGTGGCCATCTAGGTCAGATATAGGACCCCAAAGACGCTGCAGGAGAAGGATTTAGCCATAATGACCAAGTAACAAGAACATACACTTACTACTTCTTTTAAGGTACCAGACTCTTCAGCTCCGACTGCTATGTAGAATTTCCAGTCCTCTCCAACAGCAGTACAACCAATAAGTGGAGGTAGGTCTTGTAAACTCCTACGCTGTGTAAAAGCCCACATCAGCGTCCTGTCATCCATACCCTAAGCTAGACCTACGCTTCTACCGAATTCCTATCCGCAGCTTTAACCTCAATACCAGGGCCTAGAACACGTTTCCCAGTGTGTGGATGGGTCGTATGGCTAAAAGATTTCACGGGAGGATGGAGCCCTGCCTTTTCATATTGAATTTCCCAAGCGTTCACGGGAAGCCCGACAACCAAATCAATTTTGCGGTGATATGAATCTCGGGCTGTATAGCGAGGTTGGTACTGGGGGTCAACCGACTCTTTTTGGCTGCGGGAATTAAGTACAAAGTAGGGGAATACGTTGTCTTCGTGGAACATACATGCTCCAACATTCTAACGGCAGTTCTGCAACAGCGCCCTCCACTGGCGACAGTGCTACCTTAATCACCCAAGAACCTTCACTGCGTAGTTCGGTGACACATTGGCATGAGGCATCCGAGATTTTCTGACCCACATCGGCATTAGCAGCAAACTCAAAATCTTGAGTGAAAGCGGCTAGTAATTGGCTCGCAGCGAGGCTTTTCGGATCAGCAGATTCGTGTATGTAGACAACCCGGTAGCGACCGCTAATTCAGCGACCGCTAATTCAGCTTTCACGCGTGATGGGCTTGATGAACATGATCGCTCACCCCGACTAGCTGTGGAACTTGATGGGGCTAGAGAGATGATATCGTCAGGTAGACAGACGGAAACCGTTGATGCTGTTTCGGAAGCAGTTCGGTGGTGTCTCTTGGTAAGATCCGATTGCGATATCGAATTCTCGGCATCAGACACCGACCTTTTGTGTTTGTGCTGAAATGCTGGAGTTGAAAAGTTGCCCCTCTAGAGTTTCAGTCTTAGGCGGGGGTTTGGGCACGCTCCTTGCAACTTCTTCTACCCAAGACAAGATCGCGGGGATTTGCCCAGCAGATATCAGGGCGAATGGAACGGAACATGGTGTGCTGCCATTTTCCTCTACTTTTTCGCACTGGGGAACTCGTCGTGAGTGACCAGATAAGTTGACTATTTGAAAAATTCCCCAAGATGGTCGGAATGGTAAGAGCGACGATGATCGTGACTGATCACGTGGTCTTTCGAAGTACCAGTGTGGTCCCTAACGAATATTAGGGCCTAAGATATGGAGTAGATGCCGCTGCAATGACAAACAGACGTTTCTGTCCTAACGGGGTTAATGGCATATCATCCTGCGCTCAACTTAGACCACTAGGTGACGTAATTTACCGAACCCCATGTTACAATACTTTGAAAACGGAGGATGAAACCCCGGAAAAACACACGGACCGCGGATTTTGTCATTTTAGTTGGAGATTTAAGAGTTTATTTATGCATCTCCATAGGACGTTCTATACGTTGTCATAATTCACAAGCGAGTGGGCCACCCCAGAAATACACACATCTTGCGTATCTACAACATACGGAGCACTACATAATTTTATTCTCCGTCTAGGGAGAACAGGTCGTGTCTGTTCTTCATCAATGGCCCTTTTTGTAGGAGTCAACCATACCACACTTTTCGTTAAGAGTCAACCAAGAGAGTACTTTTTAAATGAGATTCGGATGGGAAAACGTGTCTCAGGATTGTGTATTCATCGAAAATCAAAGAGAACCGACACGCGATCGGTCCTGGAATAGGTTGTCTAAGCATTTTCAAAGCCATCATTTGAGGACTAGCTCGGGATCAATCGTATGCACCGGATGCCATGAATATATGCCACCACACATTGTGAAGAAAGACGTGTGACCTGAATACAAAAGACTTTTGGAAAATTTCCAAAAGCTTACATTGATATTCTCAAGATCGGCGATTCAAGAATGTACATTTCGTTCCTCATGACACAACCGCCAGTTTGCTTCGGACAGGCTTGTTCTCTGCCATCCCGGGCTCTGGGAACCCAGACACATAGACCCCCTTCCGGAAAAGAAGACAATGTGTCGAACCACCAAAATGGAACATACCAAGTTCGTCTCCTTTCTTCAGTCTATCCCCTTCTTTGACAGTAATATCACAGGTCGAAACTTCGGCCATGCCAACTCCAACAAATGCCACTAAACCAATGCCTGGCTCATCGGCTTCAATGAAAATCAGTGCCCGCGTGGCCGTTGACGTAATATATCCCTGCGAAGTAACCTGACCGGCCATATCAACATCTTTCTGCTCGATCTCCGGGTTCCCAACCCCCTCAAACAGCGGTTCCGAATAGTAAGTACCGTCAACAACATACGCCTTGACAACCTTCCCACTAACAGGTGAATGCCAACGGTGATAGCTCAAGGCACTAAGAAATGCCTGGTAAATAGTGCCGCCCACAAACAGCGGCGCAAACGCATCATGACCCAGCATATCAAGCACAGAGTATGGCTGACTCTTGATCCAGAACTTGTCACGGGCATGAACATGGCGCGCGAGCCGATACGGTTTCGCCTCACACGCGTTCGCGATAACCTTTCCATCCTCCGGTTCCTCCACGGGACGTATCCCGTCTTTCAAGGTGCGGGTGAAGAAGTCATCCCACGACTTGAATCCATGATTTGGCGCAGATGGGTCACACTCGAACAGATCGTGAAATCGCAAATCTGTCTCGGCCAGATGACCAATCTTTGCAACAGCTGTGAGATCCCGATGACCAGTTTTACCAAACCATCCGTGGGCAGTCTCGTTCAACACGTCAGCAGATTTGGGCGATCGCAGGAACTCGGCCCACACGTTCAAGATCTTCTTGATCATCGCATTGATCTCGGGATCTAGGAAAGCCGCATACCCACTAGGTGTACCCATCGGCCAATCTAGGACGGCATTAATAGGTAAACCGACGAGCCCAACACGGTGTGCCTTGTCGGTCCAGGAAGGGGCAGTAGTGAGGAGGTGGTTGATGACATGCAGGAAGTGGGAATAATCGCGAATTTCGGGATTGCCTGTTGGGTCGTGGCCGTATCGCTTGTTCCGTGGGACTTCCTTGAACATTGAACTCAGGAGCATGTAGATGCGTGTATTGGATTCGATGAGTTCTTTAAATTCCTCCAGGACTGGGTGAAGGGGTTTCTCAGAATCGTCTTCGACTTGTTGGATTATTCCTCCTAACCATTCTTTGTGGGCGTTGTGGTCTGCTGGCATCCAGTTGCCGACACTTGAGAATGTGAGTGGAAGTGGGGGGGGGGGTGGTTGAGGTCGGATGAATGCCTTACCCGTGAAGGTGGTGTTGGGAACTAGTTTGTGCCATCTTTGAGGGGGGGGAGTAGGAACCCAAATTGATCTCAAGAGCTTGACTATGACGATCCACTGGGGGATGGTTGGTGATATATTTATACGGCTCTACAGCATAAGCTCAACCCCCATGGGTTAAACTTACATCAGTATGATGCAACGGGGAAGGAACGAGACGAAATAGGGCTTCGAGTTGATTAAAAGAACCTTGCAAGTGGCTATATCCGAAAGTCAATGAAGTCATGATGTCCTTGGGCAACCCACACAGACCGGACAAGTTGCCGCCCCTGAGCTATTTGCAAGGTGATCAAAACGATGGTTGCGCTTTCTGGTTCACCCAAGGCGATGAAAATGCAGAAACTTCAATTAATTCGTCTTTTAGGACAATTTGAAACTCTAAGAACCATTGAACTGTGTTTTATATATGAGAGGAACATTTGAAGACATCAAAATTCAAAAGTGACAAAAAAGAAATAGATAGCATGTCCTGGTTTCGATCCAGGGTCCTCCGGGTTATGAGCCCGGCGCTCTTCCCCTGAGCTAACATGCTGATTGGTTGAAAGATACGCACTTCAACACAATATCCACGAACATGTTAACAAAACCAAAATTCAGATTAAATATTCATATGCTGTGACCTTGGCTAAGAAGCACTCCACACACATACTATAATTCTCTGTGGCAATGGTTCGCAGTCTGTCACCAGCTCCTGGCCAGTTTTGGAACTCCAAGCTGTGGGTGGTAAACTTGGAGTTGGTATACTTGAAACTGTCATTTTGGGGGCATTACCATCTATGGACGGTAATTCAATGAAAGTGACCGAAGCACTCCTCGATAGTGAGAGATCTGGCTTTTCAATTCTTAACAGCTAGAAGCAACGATCGGATAATTATGGAACTTGCTGTCGAACTGCCGCTGACTGCCAAATTATAATTAGAACTGATTGCCCCGTTAGTTCGAAAAAAACTTGAACCATTCTACTCCATATGGAATATAAAACTCACTTCACACATGTCCACAGCAGCCAGAGGAAATTCTCCCATAGATTCCGCACGCGCCATTGCGTGGGCTTGTTCTGGTACTTGGTTGCCGAGGACCGTGGATTTTGCCCGTTTGAAGCTAACTCGACGCTGCAGGTGATATATTGGTGGAACCATCAATGCAGACGGAGCCCCAACACCACTGATCACAGATTTGTATTGTCCTAAATTACAGTGACAAGCTGGAACCCGCTGCCACTTACGGATTTGATGAAACACGTGTGGCTCTGAAAGACTCGTCGGCATTCTTCACCAAGGGCGCTTCTATGTCTGAGAATGGTAGGATGATGCATCGAATTATGCAGATGTTTCATCCCAGAGAATATGTCAGCATCTCTAATAAACAAAATAAGGAATTCTACGCGAATCAAATTCTGCATCGGCCGTGAAAGGCGCCTCAAATTATTGGCACCTGATCCACTCATTTAAAGGTAAACCCATCTACAACATAAACATTCAGTGTAGATCAATCGAAACATTTTTTGACTCCTACTTGCCTGGATTCATTGAATCAATGTGCCGTCAGGTTATTCTACAACATCCTACTTTCCCAAATTCTGTCTGGCTGCTGAAAATCTGTAATATATGTCACGGGCCCGGGCAGCAACTATCAGCACATCACCGCGAATTCCTTGCTCAGAGCACTCCACCTCCCTATGTGACCGTCCATGGCCACCGACCTTTTCTTCACGATGGATATCGTGACATGAGAGAGAAGATCCAAGTCGAAGTGATAGAGGGTCAGACAATCGAGAATGGAGTACATGACTTGAAAATTGATCGCGCCCGTAGCTGGTACGCCACTGAATCGGGAAGCAGTTGTGATGCAACACAAACAAGTGGCAACATGAACCTCGTTGTGGATGCCAAGGCGACAGACAACATCTGCACTACAACGGCTGAAAAGTCTAGTAATTTTTCAATCAATTCATGTCTTCCTCCAAAACGGCTGCAGAATTATTCGATCGACGCGGTCAATGAACGACCGCCCGTTGCCTCACCCCACCGAGCGTTGAATCACGTAGTCGGCGTTATCACGCATTGTGTAACGTTTTGCAGGTCATTTGACTCCAACCATACCGGCCTTTCGGCAACATCTCTAGGTCTACTCCGTACAGAGTATGTTGTAGTCCCCTGATCGACACAAAAAACTACTCCGTACAACAATCTATGGAGCATGCTTGTGGGACTCACCCACCTCCACCTAGATTTTTTTAGCTCAGAAATAGCGTAGAATATAATTCAGTATTTTATACAGATTCCAAAAAAACCTCGAATTTTAAACAAAAGGGATCTAAACCCTTAATTTAACAGATAGCAGGGCCCCCCGAGCATAAAATGGCCTGTAATCTGACTAGAATTCAATGAATTAGCAAATCCAGGCAACTGTAATAACTAGAAGACGAATTCGAGGAATTTGGCAACTTCGACACAATACCAAATGCAGGTTCGATACTAGAGACGAAAATTGATTTAGGGACAATCAGGCAGATCCCTGCGCCACAGGAAAAAGTGAGTGGATCCCACGGGTATAGACAGTTGTACCAAAGTTGTTGGATTAGCCCACCCACTTTGAAGCGGTCAAAATGATAATCATGTTACTTTCTGACAAAAATCCAGGTGTACAGCAAGGGATGGTACGATCAATGAACATGCACAACTCTAAGATAACTCGGACCGACATTTCACTGGATAATCTGACTAATCTCAAACGCGTTTGAGGATCCATCAACTGGCGGTCCGTAGATTTTCCGAGAATTTCAATACCTAGTTTTCAACGATGCACGACAACATGGTGTTGGCCACTTCCTGATGAATCGCAGCTTTGTGCATTCAACTTGTTAAAGTCTCCCCGACCCATCTCTCCAAAGATTAGCATCTTACTAAACACCACCTAGTTTGATGTATCTGGGCTTGGTAGTCAAATAAGGATCATTTCATAGATCACGGTATTTTAATAGTTTGTATGATGTTGTAATAACATGCATTAAAGACGGACAAAAACCTTGACGCTAGCAGATCCACCGTGGAGGTGGGCTAATCCCTGTTGTATGTGCTTTATCCACTCCCTCCATCATCCTGTCTCTATGCCACTGTCTAGATTTTAAAGTGCTACTCCGTACTCCTAATCCAGTTCAAACAGGTCGCCAATAATTGATTCTACAATCTATATGTGCTCGGAACGACGCCGAAAACGTGGTTCTATTCCCCCCTTGACTCGTCGTGCGACCCTTATGTTGCACAGAGATGTATCGAAGTAGTTTAGCTCGTCTGGAGTTACAGCACGTCTTGAACCCCAGGAAATTTGAAGCTACAATAAATACAATCGTTGAGAAGGCCTTTCACACTACTTGCTCCATGACGGAAGACAGGGTTTTAAACGGAAAGGGAAAATAGATCCTCGCTGCAATGCCTACAACACATCAATGCGGAGGTGAAAAGGTAATTGCCTCGGTGATAGAACGCTGTAGCCGGTTTACTCCTCTGATTTATGCCAAGATGGAACGAGTAACAGGGGACTATGGTAAAAAACAGTGCACAAAGGTTACTCGTCTAGTGCAAAATACGTATCATGACGTGAGACAGAGCGCGCCCCGACACTATGGCCGGATCAGCCGGTTGACAACTAAGTCAGTGGAGACAATATGAAGTTTATTGCAGAAACATTTTCGTCTCCCCATGGCACACATCTAAATCTAAGGGGAAAAAGATAAGCGGGCTCACAAATTTCGAAAAGAGGTGGGATATGAACCCATTGGGGACGGTCAGGACATCCAGGCACAGGCTTTTATTGGACATGGTCGAAGAAATGGATGTGGATAGCCGAGGATAACCCAGCCAATCATAGTCTCGGCATCGATTTGGTGGCAAATCTCGGGCAATCTACTGCAATCGGACTCACCGGGAAATATCTTGGGAAGAGGAACAGGTCCCGAGTGGGTCACTCCGAAGCTTAATTTTGAAAAAGTGAACAGTTAGAACTTCACTGAAAAGTTGAATGGCGAGGTAAAGGTGTCTGATATCATTTCCCAATTTGTGAATTGACACTGAATGGGTCTTTGCTGAACTCCCACGCGTTGCTCCTCCACACTCCTCCACTCGGGAACTTCATCCGAATTAAATACGGCATGCCGACCCTAACTTGGAGATGTGGGACAGCTGGCCAATCACATCAATTCGGCTCGGGAGGTTGTTCGGACACTCGTCGGCGATATGTGAAAAATTTAAACCGGCACCTGTCCGAAACACGAATTCCATGGTCTCGGCGTCGCGTGTTGTTGTAGGAATCTAAACGTGGTCAAATCGTACCACCTGATGTTGAAGAACAGAATTAACAAAGACGAATAGGATACAGACAACACAAGGGAGAATTGGAGAAAAATTTGTTGGTGCAAGCTTTCTTCCAGTGATCTTAACAGTTCGTGTCTGCAACCTAGGAAGAGGAAAGGTCTTAGACACGAGGGGTTCCACGTAGTTTTCGTTGTATCCACTTACTTGGAATTCCAAGTCATTCATTGATCACCAGATTCTTCCTCGGGCTTTGTGCTTCCAGCATAATCGATCACATTACCCAGAATCACCCTTCCCCACCCCTCCGTATAATCCCGCAGCCCCGGTTCTCAGAAAATTCTGGAGTCCGGAGCATGACGCACATCGGGCGACTTTTGAGCACGAAGTCTTAAATATAATAGAGAGGACCCAACCCCGTCTATTCCCTCCTGGACACGTTTCCTTCCATTCACCCTCCATACAATGAACAACATGAAACCCTCCAAGAATTCTCAGCCTGTATCGGCTTCCCATAACGAGAATGTTCTCTCCCTTGACACTGCTCCAACTCACGAGACACACACGACGAAAGGTCTTATCGTTGGAGGAAAATACCGGAACGAACTTTCAGAAGAGCAGACCCAGCACTACGATAGCAGCCTGTTGCAAGAGATCGACGTCGATCTTCCCCTCACAGCCACAAAGCCTGTACATCACAATGGCCAAGAATTAATCGTGCTTGAGTTTGTGGATGGGGACAAGGAGAACCCCTTCAATTGGAGTTCTGGCCGCAAGGCCTTCATCAGTACCCAGCTTTGCCTCATGACACTTTTCATCGGTCTCGCAACAACAGCATACAGTTCTGGAATTGGACGCATGGCAAAGGATCTCGGAACAACGGAGTTGATCGGAAAGCTTGGTCTATTCACCTTCAACTTCACTTGTGCAATTGCCCCCCTTTTCCTGGCTCCGTTCTGTGAGCTGGCTGGTCGACGAGTCATCTACATCGGTGCCTACGTCTGCTTCTGTCTTATGTTCATTGGTCTCGCCCTAGGCAAGAACATTGCCACCATCCTTGTCTGCCGTGCCCTGCTCGGTCTGTTTGGTTGTGTTGGCACAATTCTTGTCGGCGGTACTTTTGGAGATATGTACACACCAGAGCACCGTGCCATCCCCATGGCTTGCTTCGCCTTCATCGCCATCCTCGGTACAGTCGGTGCTCCCATCTACGCCGGCTTCATTGATCAGGCTCTCGGCTGGCGCTGGCTCGAGGGTATCCAAGGGTTGGCCAACATTCCCCTTGGTATCGTCATCACCCTTTGCCTCCCTGAGACTCGCGGCAGTGTCTGCCTTGCCAAGCGTGCGAAGGTCATTCGCGGTGCTACCGGCGATGAGCGGTTCGTGACCAGCAACGACCTTGAAGCCCCTGGAATCAAGCAAATGTTGCACAACTCCTCTGTCAAGGCCGTGAAGATGCTTTTCACCGAGCCCGTCGTCTTCGCCTTCGGTCTCTGGATCAGTTTCGCCTGGTTCCTGGCCTTCCTCTTCCTTTCTGTGATCCCGATCACCTTCCAGGAAAAGCGCGGCTGGGGCGAGGGAGTGGCAGGTCTTCCCTACATCGCACTCTGCCTCGGAACTACACTCGGCTTCGGTCTTAACTTCTTCCAAATTCGCAAATACAAGTCCCTCTCCTCCGACCCGAACATTCCCGTCGCACCAGAAGCTCGGTTGTACGGTGCCCTTTGCGGAGCCGTCTGGTTGCCCGTCGGCTTGTTCATCTACAGTTTTACCCAGTACAAGGGCATCCACTGGATGGGTCCCGTCGTTGGACTGACCCTCATCACCCTCGGTATCTACTTCATCTTCGAGTCCTGCTACAGTTACACGGCCGATTGCTACGGAGAACACTCTTCCTCTGCCATTGCCGGTCAGGGTTTCATGCGAAACACCCTTGGTGCCGTGTCACCTCTGTTTGCGTCCCAATTCTTCCACAACATGGGTAGTCAGTACGCTGGATTGTTGCTGGCATTGGTCGCGACAGTCTTGACGTTGATTCCATTTGTTTTGTTCAAGTATGGCCCTGCACTGCGTGCTCGGTCTAGACTTGCATCTGCCACTACGAGTGGCTCCAACTGAATGTTTTTGAAATTTATGTGAATCTGCATATCAGCACGCGTGTAATTATGGTATTATAAATGTATATACAGACTATATATGAGGCCTCCAAGTATTTTGGGGGCAGAATGACAACAATCCTTCTCGCTTTGAAGAAGACCTAGACCACTGAAGACTCCTCAGGCAATGCGTAGAGACCATGAATGCAAGAGAGCAATATAAGATTGTTTGGTAATTTTATTAGAAGATTCTAGGAGGGAGGGTGACCAGTTGAACAATGTGGAACACGGTGTGTTAGTGGCTGTCTCATTGGAGCAGCCACAAACAGACCGAAGAATGGTATCTACCTATTTCAAATATTGATCTTCACACGGTCGATGCTCAGCAAATCACATCCCTAAGCCATCATTTTGGAATATACTGGGGGTGTTACCTGTGAGCAACCTTCACAGAACCTCCGGAAAATTCCGGCATTTGGCCTGAAATAGCAGGCACCCAGAATCGGTGGCAAAAATGTCTTGGGCGACCAATAGGAATAGACTGGGGAGTACCTTGCAGAAAAATGTGCAAATTCAGCACACGGTATGTCCGAACCATGTCATCGGTGTTTCCCGGGGCTATCCACCTACGGGCAGGCTTTGTATCTTTGATTGGATGATCCCATTTTGGTAAATAAAACTCTGAAGGGATGAATTCCCATGTGTATGCACAGCATGTATACCTATTTGAGCCTTGAACTCTACAGCTCACGTGGTTGGGGTGTTGAGCCATGTTGTGCGGGGTAGATATAGTCCCCGCCAAAAGCCCTAAGCCCTGACAGGTGTGTGTCAACCATCCACACTATGACAATAACACTTTCAATAACACCTTTCGAAGTCAGAGCGGTACTTTAACATTCGGTTTTCCAGATCAAATCCAGTTGATTCGTATCGGACCGCCAACTGAACACCTTATCATTTATGATTGAAACCCTAAGAAAAGCTACACTATAATGCTGAGAATTTCTGTCAGGCTAAAAGGGGTCTTTGACAAAGACGGGTAAATGAGACACGTGGATCTCCCGTGCTCCGCCCCACCCCGCGAAACAGCCAAGAAAGCCAAAAAAAGTCAAAAAATACTGGTAAGTCACAGGAGCTCGTGCCATGGCGGTACCGAGAGTGGAACCAGGTACTAGAATGTAAATTCGAAGTGTGCTGGCGATGGGAGTGGAATGGTGTTTGGACCGACCTCCCATCGGAAATATGAGAGCAATGTAAAATAGTACAACAGACATCGACCAATTTGCGAGCTTTTTTTGTGGAATTCAGCTCCATACCGAGTTCGAACATTGTAGGTTACTGTCACTTTGGGTTGATGTTTTGTAGACTTTCCTTGAATCTTAACCTCATCCTATATTGGTTCTCTGGTCAATCAAAATTTTCGACAATGTTGGCCGCTTACTCGATCATCTCCAGTCAATGGGGGAGCTTGACAGCAGATTTGTCATGTTCATGTCGGATCACGGTGTCGAGGGGGCTGCCTTAGAAACTATCACAGCAATTATCCCGCTATATAGTGTTATTGGCTAATGACGATTATAGAAGATAGCAGAGGGGTAAAATTTCGAATCAATGATTGAAAGCACTACTAGAAAACTCTGAAGACTACGGGAAACAACGACCCCTTTATTTGGTACGGTAGGGGTGGACTCAATGATTTTTTTTTCATCGACGTTGATCCAATAAATGTGTGAGTACGCCCTAGATAGGCGGGTGCCACTAGTGCATCCTTGCAAGGATTCAAATGGTGGATCACCGAGGGTTGAATACGCTGTCCCTGCAATGTTCGATATTCTCAATTCCAACAATCCGACCTGGCTACAACGCACTCTTTTTCAAGGGTGATGGAATTTTTGCCAACAGCGTTCGACCTAGCATTGATTTCCCATACCGGGACTCGCTTTGGTAGTCGTAATGGAGCAGCTCTACGAGGAAAGTCATGGACAGAGCATCTGGGCTCAAGTTATTTGGGTAAATCGACCTCCTTCCCTTAACAATCAATCAGGAGTGAAGTTCTCACGCTATATATGACAGAAAAAGCTCCCATCCACGGAAAAGACGCACAAATCTACGTCTGGGAGCTCTTTGGATGCAGAGCTATCTGGGAGGGCTGTTGGAAGGCAACATGGATGAAGAAGCCCCAGAGTGAAGATGGCCGGGAGCGACATAACCCTCTATCTGATCTCCGTGAGATCAACGATATATTAGAGGTTCGTGGCTGGTACCCGGCACTGGGATAATTACCATGTCGAGACTGCAATGGTTCCGACTCCAGTTCTTGGGATTACAAAAGGCAGAATGTGAGTGATCATGTCAAGTGCCGAGATTCTCCTCAAAATTGATAGTCCCAAGAGCAGCATGTCCTTCCAATCTAGTGGAAAAGTACGCTGTATTTCGTTCCACAGAAACCTCAAGCTTCGGTTTAACAAAATGCTTCGCAGCCTTCCACGTGACACGGACAAGACCCCTGCAAGGTGCCATTGCCACAGACCGTCCTTTTCTGACATGGGAAAATGCACATTGGAAAACCCCTCTGACACAAATGCGCCCATCTATCACGCCATCAAAGAAACCAATCGAAGTTGGGGGAAAAGAACGGAATTCTCCAAAGTTAATGTACAAGCTACTGCATGGGCTACGATTAGATGCATGGAGTTTTCAACCTGATCAGGGTTAGAGCGAGAATGCAGACTGGCAGGGTATAAGCGCTCGCGCCCCCACCATGCCCTTACCTCATTCCTCTTTCCTATCTTCTGTTCTCAAAACGACATGCCAGAAGTGACCAAATCGCCTGGCCTCGAGCCAACGGCGACCGAGCGCCCAACTCTCCCCCGAGATGAAAGTCCCGATGCGAACTACAGGGCCAAAGCCGAGATTCTCAACAACGCGATTCAGATTATCGGCATGGGCCGATACCAGTGGCAGCTCTTCGTGGTAATTGGATTTGGCTGGGCGAGCGACAACCTATGGCCAATCGTTACCTCCCTGATTCTCCCGGCAGTCTCGAACGAGTTTCATCCCTCGAAAGCGCCGTTGTTGACACTTGCACAAAACATCGGACTGCTAGTCGGTGCTGTGTTTTGGGGATTTGGATGCGATTTTTTCGGTCGCAGATGGGCGTTCAACTTGACGATTGGAATCACAGCTGTGTTTGGTCTGATCGCGGCCGGATCACCCAATTTCGCAGCCATTTGTGTGTTTGCAGCTTTGTGGTCTGTCGGCGTTGGTGGGAATCTGCCAGTCGATTCGGCCATCTTTCTCGAGTTCCTACCTGGATCACATCAGTACCTATTGACTATCTTGTCGATTGACTGGGCTTTAGCACAGGTGGTGGCCAATCTGATCGGTTGGCCACTGCTTGGAGACAGGACTTGTGGTTCGGCAGAAGGGTGTACAAAAGCCGATAATATGGGATGGCGATGGTTCATGATCACGATGGGTGGCATCGCGATGATCATGTTCGTCGGTCGGTTGGTGTTTTTCACGATTTACGAGTCGCCCAAGTACCTCATGGGGAAGGGGAGGAATGAGCAGGCTGTGGAGGTCGTCCATGAAGTTGCCAGAAGAAATGGGGAAACCTCCGATTTGACGAGAACCGAGCTCGACGCCTTCGACCAGGGCGAGATACAACATTTCACTGCGGCAAATGTTGTCCGCCAACGTCTAGAGACCGTGCGGTTTGATCATATCCGCGCTCTTTTCGACACTCCCAAGCGAGCATGGGCTACAACATTGATCCTCGTCGTCTGGGCATTCATTGGTCTCGGGTTTCCATTATACAATGCATTTCTTCCATATATCCAGGAGACCCGAGGCGCTGAATTTGGTGATGGGTCGACATACATCACGTATCGAAACTCGTTGATTATTGCCGTGATGGGCATACCAGGCTGTCTCCTAGGCGGAGTGCTGGTTGAATTACCGGGCTTTGGTCGGAAGGGAGCTCTCAGTAGCTCGACAGCTATAACTGGGGCCTTTCTTCTTGCATCGACAACAGCTACCACCTCAAATGCTCTGCTAGGTTGGAACTGCGCCTTTAATTTCATGAGCAGCCTCATGTACGCCGTATTGTACGCATACACGCCTGAGATCTTCCTTACCAAGGATCGGGGTACGGGCAACGCCTTAACTGCGTCTGCGAACCGGATCTTTGGTATCATGGCTCCCATTATTGCCATGTTTGCTGACCTCACGACCGCTGTACCTGTTTATGTTAGCGGAGCACTGTTCATCGCAGCGGGTATTCTTGTGCTGTTCATGCCTTATGAATCTCGTGGAAAGGCGAGTTTGTAAATATGTCGATGGGATTTGCTGTTCCTCGTTACGCCCACAAGACTTCAGACACAGACACTAGTCTGGTCTCTACAAGAAGTGTTGATGGCCCTGGGACCTTATGCTTCTGAATCGTAACTAGCCTATGTGATCGGAACCAAGTTACCCTTGCAAACAATCAATCTGCTACCATTTACAGTAAATATCTCCTGGTCAGGTCCACTTGATCGAAACATCGAATACTAAATGACGTCATTCCCCTGGACTCTCCCAATTGGAAACGACACAACAACGAGCCCTCACCAGTCATCCATCATTCGCCACAGAGATTTTATCTAAGAGACTTCCTAGAAAAAAGTCTCTCAGCCACCCTCTACGAGCGACTGGACAATTTCAACCATTAATGACATCCCATTATCCACTTGCGGGGGACATGGGGTAGAGCTATACGTCAGATGGATACAGCCAAGAGATAGAGCTCGATCGGTGGCTGCCCGAAAGTAGTGGATGTTGCACGAATTATATCATGGCTATGTAACTGGTTTTAGGGCTTGGCGTTGATATAAATCAAGACAGCGATGCCTGCGACTCGGCCATGCACGACCGTCAACACATTGATTTTATCCATTCCTCAACTTCCTACAATTCAAACCACATTTAACCACACCATGTCCAATGAACAGAACCGTACGTTGCCCATGAACACACCCAAGCCCACTCCCAATCCCAATCCCAGCTAACCAAATATCTATAGCCGGACTCCTCGGCGGTCTTGGCGATACCTTGGGCAAGACAGTCGGTGGCGTAACGAACACACTAGGCAGCACAGTCGGCGGTCTCGGCTCAACCGTAGGCAACGCAACATCAGGCCTTGGACAGACTGTGTCGGGGGCGACGGAAGGGGTCGGAAACACAACGAAGAGCGCCGGAAAGGGCGTGCAGAGTGGTGTTACTAGTCTTGGGGGGCAGAAGCAGACCGGGGACAACCCGCTAGAGTTGAGTCAATAGATGATTGATTATTTTGGGTGTTGTCATTGGTCAGCGAATTCATGATGCAGGCCGCCTTGCCTCTCTTCATTTCTTACGATGTGTTGGAGATTTTTGAATACACATGCTTATAGCCAAGCTGGTAAGATTGAATTGTACCAGAATTCTCAGCGGCGTTGTGAAGTCTTTTTCAAGAGATGCGAAGGGGATAAAAGAGTCACGCTTTTGTATACGGACTCCACGCGGTCCATGTCCTACTTGAACGTCCCACCAGCGGCACATGGAAATTGAAGTCCACGGATATTGGAAGCGATTAAAATGGAAAATCGACTGATGGGAGCAGGAGAACAGAAAAACCAATGAAGTTATTTCACGCTGTGGCATGTGAAATTTCTTTCCAAAATAAGATGTCATTTGGGATAGACAAGCAAGCAGCCATCTCACAACTTTTCAGTGCAAAAACTTGGAGATCATTTTAGTTACCATACATGCGTAGGGTAATCCCGCTCCTGTCATGATCTTTCTCATAAATCTCGTCCTGGACTGAGAAAACCGAAACCAATGTATTAGTAGGTAATCGACCGGGATGTCAGAGGCCCCAGTTCCAATTTCTGCTTTTTAATTCAATCAACATGTACGAAAGTATAGCAACAATCCTGAGGCTACCAAGCCAGCTCCGGTTTGGCGATACAAGTAGACGCCTCCAACTGTGAACAGAAGCTCTCATCTGCTGAATTGTTCGACAACCGAGCATTCGGGGTGGCCGGCCAAATCTCAGATCCTCCTTGCTTTTCTTCATTTTGTCGATGTTCTATCACCATTTTTCTGACGCTGCTTTGGAAGTGTATCGGCCCCTAATTTCTACTTTAGTAACTTCTTACAGGTTGACCATAGTGAGCACTACCTTCTCTTTGTCAGGGTGCAGTTCGCCATTCGTAAAAACTTTAGCACCCAGGTTCTCCTGGGTTCCAACACAAAGCTCCTTATCCTCGTCGAGGACTTGCCTGTAAAATGCGTTGATATTCTCGAATTCTCCATCAGTGGCATCCCGGTGACGATAAATCTCATTTTCGATCCTGCTCGAAGTGGCCGATACAGGAACCATGCGCTGGATATAAAAGAATTTGTCACTAGGTTTAGTCCGCTCAGCCAACGGCCAGCTCAAAAGAGGAATATACTACTCACGTCACTGTGACAGAAGTCGTTGGGTAGAAGTACGTGATGGCCCGTCGGAACTGGCTATCGGATCCCTCCTTATTGAAGATATGATGCTCCATATACCGGGCCTTGGGCTCAACCCGATATTTGGGCAAATCCGAAATGCGTTTGATCAGTGGATGAGAAGTAGCGCAATGGTAGCACTCATTGTAATTGTCGATGATGCTCTTCCAATTAGCATCCAATTCCATTTCCCAGTAATGATCGAACTTGTACTCGGCGGCAAAATCAAAGTCCTGCATCCTAGGCTCCTCATCGACCTTTCCATAATCATCTTCCCATTTCACATCAGTCTCACCAGCCTGCAGATTGACCCACACAAAGCCAGCCTTGTCGACATGTACATGGATTGGGTATAGCGAGTGCTGGGTTTTATCAAAATTAGGTACTGTCTCGAATCGTGGAGCTTTGGCAAGATTGCCCTTCAGTCCATATGACCATCCATGGTACTTGCAGCTCAATATGGGCGCTGTGCCGGAAGGGGATTGGACAACAGGGAATGCGCGGTGGCGGCAGATGTTATGGAAGCTGTTGATTGTGCCATCTCGGTCCTGAATGAGGAAAAAGGAGAAATTAGCGACTGTGAAAGAGAGGTAGTCTCCTGCTTTCGTGAAGCGGCTGGAGTGGGTGAGCAGCATCCATCGCTTGGAGAAGATTGCCCGTCTCTCCAATTGGTACATTGCTTCTGAGCGATACCATGATGCTGGTAGACTACGTGGAGAGTCTTCTTTTGCTATGGTTCCTGAGCCGAAAATTCGCCACATTTTGAATGGATAACAGTACGTATTTGGGATCAAATTGGGGATGGGAGAAACTATGGCCCTCCCGTCTATATAGCGTGGCAGTCTTGCATATCGTGAGGGGATTGAAAATGGGGGAGTGGGGATGCACATATGGGGGAAGATAAGATTCTATTTGATTTGATCGTACTAAGTTGGACTTTTTTTTCCTACGCTGACTCCAAAATATCAAAGATGGGGGTCTACAGCTTTGATCCGATAACGCTGCTCCATAGTTCCTAACGATCTACCGCATCGCAATAATGTATTCACAGGTCGACCATGTGTAGGTCAGATTTTGACCGGCATCAGTACAATCATCTGATTTCCAGGTTGTACTTCTGACGGGCATGAACACGTTTTTGTCTGCTAAAATGTTGATGGCCAGCTCATGAGAAGAGGGGAAATTACAACAAGGAAGATGATGAGATGAGGCGCCTCTGTTTGAGCCTGACTACATTTTACCTGTAGTCTGGTAGAATGCACAAGAGTATTTTTCATTATTCTCCAGCTCCCAAGAAAGAGGACCAGACTCTCTTTCAGATCAGGGAGAGACTATCGAGGCGCTTGAATGAAGTTGTCATGGTCTCCTCGGTGAACGAGTCGTTGCTTGCCTCAAATCTTAATCTTGACGCTGAACTAGAGAAACAGTCCGGGATTTTAAGACTAGAGGTTTCTGTTAAAGCTGAAGGATTGTTTGCAGGATGTATTCGCAACATCGCTTCTACGAATGGACCTTTTTGAAACTTCTATGCTAAACAAGGATCTCGTAGTAAGAGAGATGTTCCTCGGCTGTAATTCAGAGAGACATAGCCCGTTATTTGTTGTGATCAATATTCAGACGACTGGTGTACTGGAAATAAGGAGATTTGACAGAAACGGGAGGGTGAGATAAATAATATGTTAGCGAAAGAAGATGTTCCAATCGATCTGAAATGGAGTCCTCAAAGCTAGTGATAAACCACAAATTTTGCAATTAAAAAAAAAAAAATAGAGCTGGTCCAATGGGATCTTTAGATCGCATTCTAGGTTGTTCTGTAAGTACCGTGAATTTTGCTTAAATGATCTGTGTGCAATTTGTGCTGAGATGATTTCGCAAAACACCCGAGGAATGCAGAGGATCCTTGTTATGATCAATAAGTAACTGCTAGATCGGACAGGAAAAGCCACTTAACAGCCTCCTTGAGTTCATTATCTTGCCATTCGGTCAATTCTCCTTTTGGAAAAAGGTAAGATGTTCCTTCCCTTTTGCCTGTTGGAGTACAGACAACATCCCACCATCATGTGCTATGATCACGAGCACATTTTCACGGGCATCAAGTTCTTGGACGCCTTCCACGCTCCACTGGGATTTATCGACGTCGTAAGTAAACATTGCAGCAGCCTTGTAGATCGGTGACCGTTCGATATCTGACTTTGTATTGATTTTTTTAGCAATGTTCCCGGGGCAAACAGATGTTTGTTTCGAATGTACCGCGACATGTAAAGGAGTAAGATCTTTAGGAATAGGAGCAATCTTCGAAGGCCGAAATTCTCCGGGATGATGGGCGCAATCCTGACGTCTGTTAGCGTCGATGTTATTGATCGTATCAATCAACACTCACCCCGCCCATCAAGATGAAAGAATCCGGTTTCACGCGAGCAAAGCCACAGAGATGACCAACCGAACGACCTGGTACATCGAGCAAATAAAAACTTCCATCTTCAAACCAGTCAAACGCTTTGAAACGTCCGATAGAGATAGGCTCTTGATAACTGTCGAAATCCAGTTCAATCACTCGGCGCCCCTTCAAATCAGCCGATTTCACTGGTGAATCCGGGTTATCTGGATACCCGGGGGTATATGCTTTGGTGAATCCCGGTCCGACAACTAATTCTGTACTGCTCGGAAATTTGGATGTATCCCCAATATGATCAAAGTGTTGAGTCGACCAAAATATCGACTTTATCTCGTGTAGTTCAATTCCGTTTGCGATCAGTGTATCGGGTACATCCTGGGGCACTGACACTTTCCATTCCAGCCTTGGGTTGTTTATACGATTCACCGTCACCGGGGCGAGATTCTGAAAGTCCTTTCGCAGAGACAGATCAAATAACACTCTGCCTTTCGATGGGTGGTTTATGAAAAATGAATACGACGGGATTCGAAGGCGCTCGTGGCCTTGTATATTTGGAGATAAGAAAAGTTCTGCTGGAAGATCTAGACGAGCACCACTGTAGAGAATTAGCGTACTTCGCATGCCTAAAAATTGAAATTCAAGAAAAACCGAGGGAATGAATGTACCAATCAATCAAGGAAACGGAGACGGTTTGCGCTGACACCGGAAACCCCAGAATGGGGTGAAGTTCCGATCCCATACTTCTGCAGCTTAATGAATCTTCATAGATACTTCGGGTAAGTTAAAGACAAGGGATTGCCCAAAGGTGGTGATAATGCGATGCCAAGAAGGTTAGAGCGCATTACGCATATGTGATGTTGTAGTCAAATAGCTTATTGCGTCACGTAATCGATTTTTGATGTCATGATATGCGCGACTCGATCATAGAATGCTCCCGTTGTTAAAAATTTCGTTTATAAGATGAGATCTAGTTTCTTCATAGAGGCCTTGTCATTGGAGAAGAAACCGGAAAACTTCACCGTCCCACTTCAATTAATTGACGATTGAAGCTTAGGTGGTATGATTTAATGGAGTTTGAGTACTCCAATATAAATGTAGATGTTAAGATACGCCTACAGGCGGACGGTAGAGATCTGCAAAAGATTCTTACTCTTGCCTAAAGATGATCTTGTTGATGCCGGTTGAATGACTGAATACCAAATTTTAGATAGCAGAACATGTTTCTGTGATATACAATTTATACTGAGTTAAAAGAAAATGATGAACACAGTTAACATCAAAGGAGACCTAAAACAAGAACTCGGATGTGGTTCCGAGCACCGTTGAATAGTTTATAAGTTGTCGGTCCATGTGGCCTTGATAGTCTTTCTGATATTCATTTGAGTCTTTTTAGAAGTCGTCTTTAGAAGTCCTTACAGATATTTCTGCCTAAAAAGTCTCGTGGCCAGCATATAATCTTTGATGTAGTTCCATGGATGAGTATTTCCTATCTTTTGTACCCCATTTTCGGCACTTTAAAGATGGAAGACGATTAGGAGAGTGTGAGAGGAATCAGATTCACCACATACACACAGATAAAGGCATGTCTTTACAAAGGAGGAAGGGGGGGGGGGGAACTTAGGCACCACATGCCTTATCTGGGTATTGAGTCAGCGTGTATTACACTTCGCCTGGTCACTGTTCATTGTCCATTGTCTATCACACTCGTAATCAATCGCACGAATTTTCAACTCTGCAACCAATATCGATTTTAACATTTTGCTTTCACTATACCGCCGTCTAATCAGAATGCCTGCTAGCTTCTCCACGCTAAGGCGTCGTGAGCGCCAATGGGCCGCTACCTACTTACAGGCCCGCAGTAAAGTCATTACCGCTATCGATGTGATTTACAAGCGAGTCGAAATCTACAGCTCCGCCCAAATTGACCCGGCCTCCTACAAATCTCTTGGCATTGATTGTCAATTGCTTGAGCTAGATGATGATGGGAAACACCTCCAGCCCTCAAACTCCGATCCCTCAGCTCCGATTTTCTTTGAGCCTCGAGGGGTAACGTGGGTGGCCCCCGTTCGTATTACCGACGTCGAATGCGAGGAAGAATTCAAGGAAATCACTGACGGATGGGAGAGCGCCAAAGATGATCCACTAGTTCAGAGCTTTCATTCCCAGGTTTGGTTTGTCTATCTGGGGTTGGAGCGGATGTTTTTCCAATTCCGCCGAGAGTTCTACCCCAAAGGAGATGACAGAGTGCCACCTAACCTTAGGCAAATATCGAAATGGGTAAAGAGGCAAGAGATCTAACCGACAGGCTTTACAAAACTCTTGGTATACTAACGAATGCTTTTATAGTGGGTCCATAATACCATCTATTTTCGCCGAGAGATTTTACTCGGCTATCTGGTGCTCGATGCGATGGTTGCCGGTATCTGCCTTTGTGCCAAAGAAACTTCTATATCCTGCAGGAAAACCGCATACTTTAATCGTCATTTTGATTGAAGATGAACCCGGCGAGGAGCTATTCCGCGCAGAAGTGATGATCCTTGCCGCAGCTATGATTACACGTCTCGAGGGAGAGGAATGTTTGGAATATAACACTATTCCTGTAAGTATGGATTAAGGACCTGTTTATTCTTCTTGAAAGATAACATCTCTTTTTGAAAAATCTAGGTCATGGCCATCACGATTTTCGGACGAATGCAGGCTCGAGTGCTCGAAGCTCATTCCAACCAGCAAGAACTAGTCGTCAAGAAAACCCAGCTTCTAGATTTCTCGACCAACGAAGTCGCTAACAAGAATATGGACATTCTGCTTGGATTTATGGCTGGTGACCTGGTCGGAGATCCTAGAGGACCCACAGTTCCTATGGATACATCAACGGTCGGTTTGAGCTACATATTTGATAGACTTGGCAAGCACGCTGACCACAAGTAGACTTTATCGAAAGTAGAGAAGATGGACGCGGCGAAAGGAGGAGCCCTCCAGAGAATGTTCCGGAAAATACGCCCACGAGCCAGGGCAGACACAGAGTTAGAACAGTCGGAGGGAGTTACCAGGTAATCGAATTTCCCAAGGGGCCCTTTTTTTTCTTCTGCCACGGTGCCAGGGGGTTGATTAAGCAGCTACTTCGGGTCCTAAGTCACATGGCAAGATCCAAAGACAGCTAGCTATTCTATAACCGACCTTAGCCTCTAGTTGAAAGATCAATAAAAGTTTATTCGAAATTGATTTCATCCGCCAAAAGGCCCTGGCACCATCTATAAGATGAAGATAGAGACTGAAGAAAGTAATTCCAACAGTTGGTTTGCACTTCGTAAAGTAGACAATGAGCAAGGCCAGTGAGTTCAGGCTACTGGCTTGACAATGGAGATGGCTGCGAGAACAATCCTACCGAACTCATGCATATCCTTAGCTGATCCTGTGTGGAAGGGGCCGAATGTTCTCATGACGAGGAACGCGTCAGTATCTCTTCCATTGCTCAAGTAGTCTTCATAACTACTCCTCGAAGGGCACAAAGGTGATGAAGAGCTCATGCCGGTCTTGTGAAATCAATAGGAAGCTAGAAGACAAGTGCAACTAGTTAGTCAAATTTTTTGAAAGCCACTGATAAGAGATCGAATATCTAATAACTGACTTACTGCCCGTTGAAGTGGGCCATCTGCCCATGGCAGCTCATCAACCACCCCGCGACTTCACAGGCCTCTTGCATGAGGATGGTTTCGGTTTTTATCCAGAAGACTCTCTTCTTTACTTCTACGATGGCGAAGATATCCATTGTTCTCTTAGACCGTAACGCACCATCCGTAAACGCGTTGACCTTGGCCTGGTTGAATTGACTCACAAAGTGCACACGGTTTAGGATCCACTCTAGCTTAGAGTAGGTTAAGTGAGAGATATTTTGAAGAAGGATGATGGCAGCGGCATTCGGTGTTGCTTCATCCTCGGCATCTGGGAGCTGGCCCATTTGCTCATCGTCACGAACACCGCAGACCGTCATTGTTTGTTCCTGTAATCTTCTCACGGTGGAGAAAGACCCTGGCCATTTATCGCTGGTCTCCCAGATATCGTCAATTGAATCCTGGGTGTCGAGAAGACGTAGGTATCGGGACCATTCCGCCGAGGCAGCGAGGACGTCTGCAGCTGCGTCTAAGGCTTGATTGGTGAACCCAAATCGGTGGGATTTTTCCTTGAAAGACGTGGCACGGGACATTGGGGGCGAGTACGAGCGGATCATCGCATATTGGGCCTCGGTGGCCTCCGAGGCGGACGTAACCCAGTCAGCTGGGATGGTGTGGATTGTTTTCCATCTCAAACCTGTTTTGCGGGAAACTAAATCATTCCAATCCTCCTCATCTGCTGGGATATAGAAATCATCAATTTGAGCGAGTTGGGCAGCAGTTGGCTGTTTCTGGGCTTGGGTCTGACTGGGAGCCATCGTGAAGATTTGTACCGATGTGGAACGAACCAGTGGCGTGCTCCTTCTGGTCACTTTGTAGTGTTCTGATATTGTCTTCCTTGTTCTCAAATTATTCAAATTGCGTGTCAAGCTGGCTATGTTGAGAATTCTAGGTAGGTTGGTGTCTACCAGTGAAACGTAGGGGAGAAGACACGGACATAACAAAAGCCATGGGGCCGCTGCCCCCTGTTCAACATAGAACCTTTCCCGTCTCTTCCCTCTCCTTGTTCTTCATCCTATTCACATAGCTACCTCGGCCTGAATATTACAACGCCTGTTGTTCAATGCACCGCTACATCTCGTTTAGTGATGTGGAGAATTGGGAATATCAAATTACAGTCTCGACTCAACAACGCTAGTTCTAATTGATTTACCCCACCGACGATTGACCTAGCAATAATCAGTTAAGTCCAGAGCTGGAGAAGCGGGTACTTACGTCTGTGATATGATTATATCCCAACAATTTGGGTGCTAAACCTGGGTCCCGCCAAGCCAACGCTTCTCCCTCGGGCGTAGGGACCATCTGCATCTTTCGATCTCGTTCCTGCTGCTCGGCACCATCATGGAGGTGGTAGAGATATTGCTGGATATTTCCTCGCTCGACAATCATCTTTGTTCGTTGCTTACGACATTCCTGGAAGACGGTAAGGGCATGTTGCTTGGCTGCCAGGAACTCGGCCGAGCTTTTGGAGATGCTGGGGCGGCTCGGGAGTCTGGAGAGGCATTCGCCTAGAACTGCTCCATCCTCAAAGGACATTCCCGCACTGCGGACTTTAGATAATTTCGACTGGTAGAAACAAGGCAATCCTACCCAGAGGCCAAATATGGCAATGTAGCGTGGACTGCATCGCCCAACATTACAAACGCGCCCGAGGGATGAATCCAGTCAAAATCTCCAAAGCGAATGCAAAGACGCCATTTCTGGACTGACTCGCAGAGCTTCAAGAGTTTGGGGATCCTATTACAGTCAGCTACCGATGTAACCTTCTATGGAGATGCAGAAGATACCGAGGGTCCCAGTCTTTGAACAACGCGCACATCTCTTCCACATTCCCTTCGATCGTTGATGCCAAAGACTCTTCTGGAATATCGTCTGGGACCAAAAGCACCATATTGAATAACTCCCCGCCACGAAGCACATAGTTCACTATAGAATTAGTAGTGGAAACCGAATCATGAAAATAAGTACGTACCTGCATGAGCATCCGGACCCAGCCAGTAGTTGACCTGGGGATCTGTTACCATTTCTGCAAGATCAGGATCCTTCTTCATTTCCTCTGTCGATAACAGCAAACGGTATGCGAGATCGCCAGTCTTGACCGGTGGGTCGACTCGACCCAGCAATCCCTCCGTCAATTTTCCAAACACCCCATCAGCTCCAACAACAAGATCTCCAGTCCATAGTCTCCCATCCACTGCAGTAGCAGTAGCTGTGGTACCATCTTTGCTCACAGTGACATCCGCCACACGCGCATTGCAGATGATATTAACTCCCAACTCGAGCGCCCTCTCAACCAAACATTGTTGCAAGTCCGCGCGATGGAAGTCACGATACCAAGTGCCAGGATAGTCACTCTCCGATGCGTGAAAGTCCAACGACGAAATAGGATTTCCCTTCCATCCAAGGAAATTGCAAACCCGAGGGATGGTCATGTGTGGTGTCAAGGCCTTTGCGAGACCCCAATGCTGAAGTACACGCGAGCTGTTGGGCAGGATCTGGATACCTGCACCGACCTCTTTGATTTCCCGTGTTGCCTCGAGGATCTGGACTTGATGCCCAGCGAGCGCACAACTGATCGCAGACCCGAGACCTGCAAGGCCTGCGCCGACAATGAGGATATTGAGTTGACATGACGGAGAGCGGATTTCTCGCTCTTTGATGGGAATCTGGGGTGCCATTGTGATATTGTGATGGGTGTATTTCAATTGTTGAATACCGTCCGGTGTACTGTGAGACAGGACTACTTATGATAGATAGGCACATCAGATATGGACCCTTCGTCATTACTCGACTATCCTCCAACGTTGGACAAAGATGGGGGTTAGCTTAGGCCAGTTATGCCGCCATCCGATAGCTTAAAAGGCAGGAATGTCTGAGGGGAAAGAGCATCGCTACACAGCAAGAATACCGTATTGATCTACACTACGAAATGTCAAAAGTAAGTCTTGCTACTTTTGACTCAATGATCCCAGCTAACTGAGAAAGTTTTCTCTGAAAGGGCGCACGGCACTGGTGACGGGTGGTGCTCGGGGCTGCGGGCTAGCCTTTGCGCGGGGACTCGCCGAAGAAGGCGCTGATGTAGCAGTATTTGATGTTGCTTCACCAGAGGAAGGATTCCATGCTATTGAGAAGGATTATGGTGTCCGAACCGCGTATTACAAGTGGGTCGATTGTACATTTGAAGGGACCATAGTTAACAACAGCAGAGTCGACGTCTCATCTCAGGAATCTTTGCAAGAAGGCTTCGCCAGCTTCCAGAAAGATTTCAACAATGCCCTGGATATCTGCGTTCCATGCGCTGGTATTAATCGCCACCTTCCATTCTTAGAGTTTACCTACAAAGATCACCAGGATCTACTGTCTATCAACGTACTCGGACTTTACTTTACTGCCCAGCTCGCAGCCAAGCAAATGATTGCGAACAAGACAAAGCACGGCAGCATCGTGTTGGTTGCCAGTATGGCGAGCCATATTGCTGTACGCAGCCAGCTATGCTCGGCTTATTGTGGCACAAAGGGAGCAGTCAGATCAATGTGTCCGGCGATCGCGAAAGAGGTGGCCGAATACGTAAGTTTATCGCAATTTATTCTGAACCGAGGAGACTCATTCTATATGCCAGGGTATTCGAGTCAATTCCATTTCTCCGGGATTCGTGCGAACAGAAATGACGGCCTCAGTGAGTCCCCATCCAGGCGAAGAAGTACCTGGAGCATGCGCTAATTGCTAGTTCCCCCATCTCCTCGACGGATGGAAATCCGAAGCCATGAATGGCCGCATTGCCGAACCAGAAGATATCATGGGGGCGTGTGTATTCCTCGCAAGCGACGCAAGTTCGTACATAACCGGGTCGGACATTGTCGTGGACGGTGGGGTGACACGATGGTGATAACACCTATAATGAAGAGTGGGGGTTTCCCCCCCGCAACGTTGATTTGAATAAATAGAGAAGATAGAAACGAATCAAGGAACATGGGTCAATCCAGAAACTGAATTTCATCATGTCACCGAGTGCAGACCACGAAGGCTACAGAATTGGCCCTGTCGATGCTTCCACTACTGTTGTGGTGGTGGGCGCGGGACCCTCGGGGTTGATGCTAGCGTATGTCAAATCCTCTTCTTCAATTGAGGGAATCCTAAAAGCTTTGAAGGTGTAATCTCGTTCGCTTTGGAATCGCCGTGGTGATTCTAGATGATCGTCCCGACAAGACATCCACGGGCAAGGCCGATGGAATGCAACCCAAGACCATCGAGACCTTCAGACAACTTGGGCTTGCAGATCCATTGCTGAAGAATGGAGCTCGAGTCTACGATATTTCCTTCTGGGTATGCTTCGATTCAAGTGTTGCTACTGGGTCTGACTAACGAAGTGCCAGGAATCAACAGCCAAGGAGTCCCTTAAGCGCACAGATCGCAAACCCCACTACCCCGAGCACGTCGGTGCCTCCGATCCATACATTTTGTTAGCTCATCAGGGGATGGTGGAAGAGGTCATGATTGATGATATGGAGGCACGGGGTGTGTTCGTCACGCGCAATAGCAAATTCGTGTCATGTTCGCGGGTGGATGGAACGAGCCAACTAGATATTGTGTATGAGGATGTTACTACGAATACGCCTCACAAGATCAGAGCGCAATATCTGGTTGGATGCGACGGAGCTCGATCGAAGGTTCGATCGTTTATCCCGGATGCTGAGCTCGAGGGAGAATTAACAAACGCGGCGTGGGGAGTGCTAGATGGTCGGTTTCCCCCACTCTATGAGGAGAAACTGCAGCTGACTAAATAGGTGTGATCGATACGGATTTCCCTGATCTATGGAGTAAAGTTGCGGTACGGTCTCATTTTGCTGGCTCGATCTTGTGGATTCCGCGCGAGAGAGGCATGACTCGATTATACGTCGAGTTAAGCTCGACTGACGGGGAGCGGGTTGAAAAGACAAAGGCTACAGCTGACTATGTCATGAGCTGCGCCAGGGAGGCAATGCATCCATTCAAGCTAGAGTGGAACACTGTGGAATGGTTCGGAACATATGTTGTGGGCCAACGGGTTGCGAAACGCTTTATGGACTCGGACGCACAGATCTTTATTGCAGGTGATGTATGTTTGATTGATTTCAGCCCGTATGGGATATGTGACACTCATCCTAACAGATCATAGGCCGGCCACTGTCATTCGGCTCTTGCAGCTCAGGGTGCCAACACAAGTATGCACGACAGCTTCAATCTCGCCTGGAAGCTCAATCTCTTGGTCCGAGGACTGGCAAAACCATCCTTACTCAAGACCTACGAAGACGAACGGCAAAAGATAGCATACGACCTGATCAATTTCGATGTAGAGCACTGCAAAGCGTTTGCAGCAGGCGATGAAGAACTGGTTAAGAACTTCGACGACAATATTCGATTCATATCTGGTATTGGAGCCGAATATGCTCCAGGAATGTTGACGCAACTGCCAGCCACCACATCGCGTCTTCAACCTGGAATGCTTCAACTCCCAGCTAAAGTAACTCGCTATATCGACGCTAATCCGGTAAACATTGAGTTGGATATTCCTTTGCTGGGTCAATTCAAGATCTATCTTTTCTTGCCTGATGTTCGCCACTCGGGGACAGCACTGGACAATGTTTGCCAACAGTTGCAATCTCTTCTTGCTGATATCAGTGTGAGAGCCTATCAGTCATATGGGAAACAACCAAGGGGAGATTGTACCACAGATGGATTTATCCAGACTCAACGCTACACGGGTGTCTCCAATGTTTTTACTTTTGCGATGGTTACGCGGTCTGCTCGGCCTGAGTTTGAGATTGCTGATCTACCGGAGATACTACAGACTAGTCGCTGGACTTTGTATCTCGACAATCTTGGAGGGCCAAGCTGTACAGAGAAGTGGTTTGGAGGTTTGAACCGGGGGAAGATTGGGATCGTTGTTGTGAGGCCTGACGGATATGTTGGGGCTATTGACACTTGGGATGTCGAACAAGTGGGTGTCATAGGGCCGTGGGTGCAGGATTATTTCTCTTTCATGGTGTGAATTTATTAGATTATTTCATTGGATATGTGTTTTCAAAATACTCATATCCATTCCATACCTCTGACATGGCAACTCACTAGAATCATGCCTTCTTAATAATCTGACTGTTGATCCTATTTGGACGAATTGGATGTTTTAGCAGTTCTAATAAGAGCCATCGCATCGTTCCTATTCAAAATATTTTCTGCCTGATTCATTAAACAACGTGAACACCTTGAACGCTGAGAAATTTACTTCGAGAGTGAGGTTAAGATATTGACGATTTAGTCTTTTAGTTGTATATGTTGAACGAAATACAGCGTACTTTTCCACTAGACCATAACAAAAACCAAGGTTCCTGTTTATGGCCTAGGGAGGCCGTATTTTGAGGTTTGACAGTATACTGCATTCTCAACACAAATACTACCACACCTATACAATAAAGAGTGCACAATTATTGATTAAATCTTGTACTCACAATCGACAGGATATTCATCTCAAAAGGGAAGTGGAGACGAATGCTCCAAGGTGGGGGGGGGAGCTTAATAGTGGGGGGGGGGGCTAATCTGCTTTCTAGATTGCCCACCCTCAACCATCAAGCCTCATCCCACTATTCGAGCAAATCAACGATCCCACCTTCACCGCAGAATCCAAGAATGGAAACTTCAAGATTGGAAACTCCAAGAATGGCGCAAAACTGCCCCTCCAATATATATATGTATCTCCCTAGCAAAAGCCAAAATGGGCGAATCACAAAACCCATATATCCTTGCAAATGGGTTCAATCGCAATCACTGATCCTTTGTTCGAGTCCGTCCGTCTGGGCGCCCTGACTCTCAAGCACCGCGTTATTTTGGCACCATTGACGCGCATGAGAGCGGGCAAGGAGTCTGAGGGTGTGTATGTTCCCAGTGAGCTCAATGTCGAGTACTATTCGCAGCGAGCTTCGGAGGGGGGGTTGATGTTGACCGAGGCTACTCCAATTAGTAGACATGTTTGTGGATTTTCTTCCGACCGAGGAGTTTGATTGGGTTATGAAACTAACAGCCACAGGCCGCTGGATACCCAGGAGTCCCTGGAATCTTTACGTCTTCCCAGATTGCTGGCTGGAAGAAGGTTACCGATGCCGTGCACACTAAAGGGGGTTATATATACTGTCAATTGTGGCATGTTGGCCGTGCCACGGTTTCTTCCCTGATTGAAGGAAAGGAGGTTCTTGGAGCCAGTGAGATTCCGCTCGCCGGAAATGCACTTGATGGATCTGAATACGCAGCGTCGCCACCCCGTGCTATGACTGTTGAGGAAATCCAAGATACAGTGAAAGAGTTTGCGGCAGCAGCAAAGCGAGCCCGCGATGCAGGATTTGATGGAGTAGAGGTTCACGGTAAGATTGATTCCTTTTCCTTTTTTTTTATGTGCTGTGGCTAATAAACCAGGTGCCAATGGCTATCTCCTTGACCAATTCCTCCACGACAACGTCAATACCCGCACCGACGAATACGGCGGCAGCATTGAAAAGCGTTCTCGCATCATCCTCGAAGTCCTGAAAGCCGTCAGCGCCGAGATCGGAGCCAACCGCGTCGGCATCCGCCTGTCACCATACAATTATTTCCAGGATACACGGGATTCAAACCCCAACGAAAATTGGCTTTCGCTGTGTTCGCAGATCGCTGGACTGTCCGAGGAATCACGCCCTGCTTACGTGCACATGGTCGAGCCCCGTTTCGACGAAGTTATGGATGAAGCAGCCAAGATTGAGTCCCTGCCTTCGGATAAACCGTCACTGGATGTTTTCCGGCCGATTTTGAAGAAATCAGGAATCTCTCTGCTGGCTGCTGGAAGCTTTAACGCTGAGAATGCGGGCCCTAAGCTTGCAACTGGTGGAGCGGATGCGGTTGTATTTGGTCGTTATTTCATCTCGAACCCTGATCTGCCCCGTCGGTTGAAGGAGGGTTTGCCTCTGACTCCTTACGATCGCACGACATTTTATGGTGCCGATCCTGTTGAGAAGGGATATACGGATTACACTTTCTATGGTAAATAGATACAGACATAGATAGACCGCGTTTGCTCCGATCAACGTGTCGGATAAGATAAAACTAGATGTTGACTATCAAATGCAAAACCTATGATGACAACCTCATCAAAACTTTCATAGCATCGTGAACAACGGCCCATCGGACTGTCGCTAGTTGTTTAGCCATTGCCGCTGCCAAAGGGCGAGGACAGTATTTGCCCGATAAAACCGCTAGCTCGGGTAAGCTGGGAGAATTGGTTAACATCACGATCAATGAAGATAGATCGGTGTTGATCCGGTTCTCATCAGAGGTGAGATTCGGTCCACGATGGAAAACCCAACAGGCCAGTGTGCAAAGATACAAACACCAGGGGAAATGGAAGGAATCTGCCTGATCCCAGTCATGAAGACTCAACACCGCGTCTTGGAGTAACGATGCCGCTTGTTGTGCAGTTGTACAGGCTGGCCCGGATTCCTCCTGTAGCCATCTGGTGATATTCCGCAGCGACCGTGCCTGATCAGCTTCAGTGACGGTACGTCCAAGGATCTGACTGGCCCCGGCGACAATCTGCAAATCGAGGACCTCGATATTCAACGCGAGATACGCTGCATGGTAAAGAGCATACCCGGAGATCTTGAGCCCTGTAAACTGTCGAGGACTGGCAGTCCGAGCGAGTTTTATAGCAAGACAATCGGCATCGAAGTCTACTTTCCACAAATCATAGGACCGACCCATGCGCGGCGTCCAAGCCCCGACACGCTCGGGGGTCTCCGACCGTAGGGTTGTTTGATCGCGACGTTTCAAATCCGCAGATACAGACATCAACCCGTGCAGCACAACGATCCGGGAAAAGACATTCAGATCTCGCGGTCGCGCAACAGCTGCCGGCGTGATGTATCCTTTCAAAACCGTAAGGAATGGTCGGTTCTCTTCCCGAAAGGCGTGCTGTGACCACTCTCGTGCAGAGGATGCATCCCAGGCTGCAGAACCACAGGGCAAGGCAGATCTAATCTCAAACGCAGACATACACAGTGACTGCGAGAATAGCACGGCATGCTGTGTATCCCACATGAAGCAATGTATAGCGACCCTCTTACGTTGCTCTTCCTCCATAGCCCGTCGCCACATTTGATCCAGATCCCCTGATTGATTCACGCCCGACAAGTCGCGTATGCCACAGCAGTTGCTGCGCCTGATCATTTTGATCAAGACGCAGTGAAATAGCTGCGCGCGCTCGCGTTGTTTGGGGCCTGCTCTCATCTTGCCAAAACAATCGATCAGAAGCATGGTCTGTAAGACCCACAGGTCAGCTTGCGGTGAGAAATCCGAATGACAGAGCAGCTGGCTTCGCAGAACATCGTGGACTTCCACTGCCAGTTGGTGGGCCTCGCGCGTGCTGTATGTTGCACCCATGAATAGAATCGAGGCGAGGAACACCGGGGGCGCCTTATTCGGGTTGAAGGTACACTGGTGGATCAGAGGGTATGCCGTGTTGAAACGACCGAAGAACATGTCGCAATAAGCCTGGAGAGCAGGGAGTGTCAGAAGCGGCGAATCCAGTACCGTGGGATGTCCATCGATGCTTGTTGGATGTGCCTGTGACACGATTGCCAGAATCTGCCTTCTCGCCTCCTCGGATATTCTCGGTAGATTCGTTGGAGGATTCGGATCTAGTGTCGTCGCACCAGACATCCAGTCCAGGTCTGGGAAACTGGGTAATGCAGAGGAGTTAGTTTCCCCTAATGCTTCGCCTCTATCCATGATTGATGCCATGAGCAAGGCCGATGGGCCATCGTATTTATCTATTAATTCTGTGGGATGGGAATCGAGTCTTTCTAAAATCGGGACTGCATCGAATCCGAGAGGGAGATTGAATTGATGAAAAGCATCGTCCAGCGAGGAAACGTCGAAGAGCCAGTTGTAATTGGATATGGCTGCAAATGGAAGATTGAAATCCGTCGCTACTGAAATTAGCAAATGAATGATTAGTGAACACGTCGTGTCATCCATACCGGTGTCCATTCCAAAGTAATCGCCAATCCCGTCCAACTCCACACCAAAAGACCCATCTGCTGCATCAAATTGTCCAGCCATTGGCTCAAAATGCTGCTCAAAAGAACCAGCTGGAACCAACGAGGCCAGGAAAGGATCTGTATCATCCATTGAGATTGACGTTGGACCAGTGCCTGAGCCAGGTGGGGACAATGGGACACCATCATCAAAGTACTCTTCCTCATCTCGTAAGTCCGGTATCTGACTGGAACCATTGACCGAGATCGAAGATTTCGCTGCAGCGGCTGTTCTCAACTCTCGCTGTGAAGGACGCACAATAATCGAACCATCCTCAGCTCTTCTAGTCCTCTTTCGCGTCTTCAACGTCCCCTGTCCGGGTCCTCCAGCTTCGAGATCCCGTTTCTCGTGTCGCTCCATATGTCGCGCTGCACCTATCAGTATCTTTTCATAGATTAGAACCAGCATATCCCACCTAACAAATCTGAGCGTTGAAAGTGAACAGAACAACGCTCGCAGGTATGCCCATTTTGTGCCTGCTCGTGGTTGAGCGCATGGCGACGTAGGTGCTCCGCACGCGTGAAGCTCTTGCTACAGCCTGGGTGTAGGCAGGGGTGTTTTTCCGGAGTTTTCATGGTCCAGTTGCCCATGTGCGAAAGTAGGTCTGGCTGCCTACTTCAATGTCTTTGACGGTGATTTACTCGGAACCAACCCCGAGGTCTACTGATAAGAATGCGGGGACGCGATCAAGTTAATGGCTGATTGGTATGATTTCAACGAGATGGGCAAAGCTCTTATCGGGAGGATTTAGTGCCACTGGATATTTTAGCCACTAAGAGCTCTGGAATTGGCTCACCAAGGCGGGGGCCATAGCGGGAGTTGGGGGTGTTCTCCGAATGTCGCAGGGGACATGGTGTGATTCTGTAATTGTAATGGTTGAATGCTCAAACTAGACCAGCAATAGTGCAGTTTACGAAAGTCGACTGCCGCCAGTGTGTCAGTAAATGTTTTGCCAGCAGTGCTACTTGAGGTCTACGTATTTTTTTGTGCAAATTCGTTGCATGAACATCGTGCTAAGGATCTGTAGAACTTGTAGAACTTCAGTCGAATTCTCGATACTCGGATTCTAAATGCTAGAATTTATCGCCAGAACTTGGTACTCTAATTTGATACTAGGGGTGTAGATCAAGTACATGAATTCTCTCTCAAACGATAGAATTGATCCACACTATTTAATCCATGGATATAGTAGGTCGGTGTGGAAACGAATTACATGAAATTCTTGTCGTTACTGCGATTCTCTTTAACTCTAAGGATTAACTAAATGATTTACATATCAGATCTAACACGGATCATTTCTCAAAAATCTGGTACGAGGATTAGTTCCACAAAATGTATTTAGGAGCGTAAAGACCGTCTGAAAAAGGGTTTACACATCAAATGATCAAAAATTGTGAAAAGCACGCTTGATCTTTCTTACCAAGATTGATCTAAAGTAGTGGAGACTCTACTTGTACTCTATTTACCTTCTTGGTCCTCCCCAGCTATACAATATTAAGGGTCAAGAAGATCATAGCTACGATGATGCGATGGTACGACGTACAAGTAAATTTTGTGGAGAGTTACTTGAGCAAAGATGCTAGATGATGCAATTAACTATCTAGTGATTACTTTCTTCGCTGAATGTGTATTCCTAGTCTTTATACTCTATGCCAGTTGATGAATTAATCTGGGTACTTGGTACACTGGCGATTATAGACTGCTGTCAATATGCTTCCGTTCCCCCAAGCCTCCAAACGATGTAGGAGCCGAAGAATCCGATTTATCTGGCTAATCAGGATATCAAGGGAAATACCTCCACTCTGGACTCTTTTCACCCTCCTTCAACTGACTAGTATCAGTCTGATCCTCTCTCAATCTTACTCCCTGTTTGCTATCTCGCCGGTGATTTTCTATGCGCATCCAGCTTCCCAACCCAAGAACAAGGACAATGCAAACTGCATTGCAACAACAAGTTGCAATCAGAGTAGGCAGATACCTATTCAGTTAGCGGTGGGTCTTCGTGGGACAGCAGAGTTCCTTACTTTGGAGCATATTGAGTTCGGAATGTGGCCGCGCTCAACACTCCAGCGAAATTGCCTAGTCCGACAAAAAACCCCGTATTGGCAGCTCGCGAATTCTCGTGTACGTTGTTATTATTGTGCCATGCGTGGACGAGACACGATGGAATATATGATCCTGCTGCCATCAGGAAACAAGCAAAGTACGCTACCCCCTTGTTCCTTTGAACGTCAATCGCAATCAATATAATCATTCCGACCAAGGAAACGGTCAAAGAAAATACAATGTGGAGTGTTCGTTCGCGGAAATAGTCGGATGACTTGGCCACACACAGCAGGAATACTGCCCCGACAAGATTTGGCGCCACCGTCCAGAGATTAGTCTTGATCACGGAGTATCCCAATCGTTGAACAATCTGCCATCGTTAGCCAGCTATCGAGGCCGCGACGCTCATCAAAACCCACCAATGGGAAGAAATTCATTGCCGTGGCATAGGCAACAGGGTATGTGAACGTTATCAGACACCACACTGGGAACTTCCAGTCGCTCCATGACTCAAAGGCAGACTTGAGATCAAAAGGTGTATTAACCTCCAATGAGGTATCCCGAAGCAGACGTGCTGTCGCTACTGCCCTCTCTCTACCAGATAAAAACCAAGCACTTCGCACCCCATCGGGCAGTAGGAAAAATGCCACAGCTCCGATGAGTAGTGTCATCGATCCCTCAATAATGAACAACCACTGCCAGCCTTTCACAGCAGGGTTGTTGATTTGGAAAGCCCCAAAGGAGATAAGTCCGCTAAAGGCAGACGCCAGAACTGCAAATGACTGCATAATAGCTAGGCGGAATCCCATTTCTCCGCGGGTATAGAACAATGTGAGGTAAAATGTAGCTCCGGCGAAGAACCCCGCTTCAAAAACACCCAAGATGATGCGAATCGCAAGTAGAGAGCCGAAATCCTTAGCGGCACATTGGCAGAGGGCTAGAACTCCCCACACAATGGACACTATTTAATCAATGTCAATAAGTCCCACCGAGAGAGTAGAATAGTTGATGGGTCTCACTAATAGACAGCATAAGTCTGCCTGAATATCTCTTGATCAGAAGATTCCACGGCAAATCGAACAACCCAAACGGGATGTAGAAGAGCAGAATCAATAGAGAATAGTCATTCCCCTTCAGATTCAAGTCCTTGTCCAGACCATCCGTCTTTGCATTTGCCAAATTGCTCTGGATTGATTGTTAACACATTTTGCGAAGATAATGTCATTGTCTAAGTACTTGCCCGATCCATGCAGTCAAAGAAGTACATCTATACGATGACACAAGCCACAAAGTTAGCAATAATTTCCAATAGCTGACTGTATCTTGTTAAATATTTACCAAGCATAACGTTGGAAGCACTATGAAATCTATTTTTCTAAGATAGGACCTCTCGGCCTCCGGATCTGTGTACACCGTGCTTTCGACGATGTTTACTTCAGGGTTGGGCACCTTGGCCATTTCGGATGATTTCAATTCAGAAATCCTAATAGATGATTGAACTGCTGGTTTTCCAATAGATACCGCAAAGTAGTCGGGCGGGTTCTTATACTGAGCAATATCTTCTCCCTCGCAAAACATTCCAGTCCCAAACGCTCACGGTTATATACACAGAACAACAGCAAAGCCAGCCATTTCCAAATAGCCAACTGGCGTATCTTGCTTGATCTTTTTCCAGATAGGAGATAATTTGCAGTTTTTTTTCTTTGTTCACCCCACATCTTCCCCGCGCGGCCTTATCGCAGGTAATTAAACTGTTGCCCCCATTTTTGGGTGCATCCTTGTCCTTACCCCCATCCTTCATCGCAAATGCATGCTGGAGCTCCAGCTAGAGCTGGATTGGTTGGATTAGCTGGAATTGAAATTTCGGACTTCCTTGCGAGGTTGAACAGTCTTGGGGGTAGCTCAGTTTTAATTGCGAGCAAAGATCTTGAACGCAACGCGATCTTATTAGGCGAACGCAAGCACAATCCATCGGTTTAGTCTACACAATGTCTCCCCCCGCAGCTCCGCCTGTCTTGGATTTCGCTCCATTCTATGAGAAGGATAGCGACGCGAAATCCAAGCTGATCGAAGAGGTGCGCGAATGCTGCCACTACAACGGATTCTTCCAGATAACTGGCCACCGCGTCCCCTTGGGGTTACAGCGCCGCGTAATGGATTGTTCCAGGCGCTTCTTCGATCTCCCTCTGGAAGAAAAACTAAAAATTGACAAGAGTAAGAGTCTTATCCAGCTATCATGATTTCTACTAACTGAATAGATCTCAATTCGTTCAACCGAGGCTATGAACTCCTCCGATCGCAAATGCTGGAAGTGGGCACCGGACCAGAGCTGAAAGAAGGCCTATACATTGGCGAGGAAATCCCTACAGACCACCCCTACTATTTGGAGAAGAAGTTGAACAGCGGCCCCAACCAATGGCCACCTACCGTTCCCAACCGGGACGAATTCGAACAAACAACCATGGAATACTATCACGCAGTCTTCGATCTTGCAAAGGATGTTTTGGGAGTACTGGCTCAGACGCTAGGAGTAGAATCATCCTTCTTTGACCCTCTCACAGACGGAGCGGTCGCGACAATGCGCTACCTGCACTATCCGGCACAGCCGCAAGACACCGACGAGAAATTGAACCGCGGCATCGGAGCGCATACCGATTTCGGATGCATCACTCTCCTTCTGCAGGACGAGGTCGATGGCCTACAAGTGCTGGATGCACCATCGGGACAATGGCTGGATGTAAGTTCCAAGTATAACAATCTCTTAATCTTCATTCTGACAGAGATCGATAGGTCAAACCAGTTCCCGGAGCTTATGTGGTGAACTTGGGTAACCTCTTCATGCGCATGGCAAACGACAAATACAAATCCAACACCCATCGTGTGATTAACAAATCCGGTCGAGAGAGATACTCGATTCCGTTCTTCTTTAGTGGAAATCCGGATTATGTCTGCGAGTGCTTGCCTAACTGCCGTGAAGAGGGTGAACCTGCCAAGTACAGTCCAATTACTGTGCAAGACATGGTAACGGCGTCTTACAAAGAGAGCTACGGCCGCGCTGAGGCATTCAAGAGGAATTTGGATGTAACGAGGGCGCCTGTAACCCCGGCTGTTGCTGTGGTCGGTGCTTAGTGTAACTCTTTTTCCAATTTATAGAGATATTGAATTTAACGATCCGTGCCAACGAAATTGAAACTGCGCAAGAGATCAAGAATTTTCTCTATGCAAAGTTAGAATTTCCTACTCCGTATAGCACACGACAGGTAAGATGACTCAACAACCATCCCTGGATGGGTGGCTTAATTGGTCGACAAGCAACAAGTGCAGTAACGCCACAAAGTAAGATAAGTATTGGCCCGGTATAAGCTGTTGTGATATCACATGTCCAAGGCATCTATCCCAAGAGTGGGATAGCACATCGCGTTCTCTCCACTCTTGGTCGCCGTATCAAGATGGAGTATGCGGACTATCAGGCAGGATTATCAGATTAGGAGGTACATAGTAGCCCTAAAAGAGAAGAACAAGTGGCACTGATCTGCCTGAAATGAGAGTAAGCAATTTCTCGCCAAACTACCAATTGTAAGATGGACGAAATTCAAGTTGAAAAAAAGCAGAGCCAGCCAGGGGAGAGCAGCAGTCCGGACTATGAAGTTGCTAAATTGACGACTATTGATGATTATGAGCTTGAAATTTTTTACGGATCCTCGACTACCAAGGCATACCGCTTGAAGTCTGAGCTAGTTGGAAAATGCATGGAGGAGATTGGCATGGGCTGGTATTGACACCTCTCAGATCCAACAGCTTTAAGGAATGGAGATATTGACACTACTAGGTTTCAATGGAAACTCTTCGTTGTTACAGGTTTTGGATGGATAGTCGACAATGTCTGCAAATGCTCTCCTATTCTTCTGACACTCCCTTTTCCTGACATCGATTTCAAATAGTTTGCCTCGCAAGGCATAGGCAGTGTTCAACCCCCTATCAAGCAAGAGTTTTCCGGAATTGTGCAAGTCAGCTACAGTTCAGTTGCCTACTACATTGGGCTCATTCTGGGTGCCTCATTTTGGGGTCTGTCTAGCGATCTCATCGGACGCAAGCCAGCATTCAATTCTACGCTGCTCATTGCTGGCATCTTCCTATGTGCCGCCGCTGGATCGATGAATTTCATCGCATTCAGTGCACTATGGGCTGTAATTGGAACTGCTGCTGGTGAAAATGTGCCTGTTGATTCTATGATATTCCTAGAATTTGTGCCAGGAAGGTGAGAAAACAGGTAGTTGGCGACATTGATGGTGATCGTTGCTGACCCAAATCCTCCCAGTCATCAGTATCTTCTCACGGCTCTCTCAGCATGGTGGAATCTGAGCCAACTAGTTGTTTCCCTGGTTTCTTGGGCTTTCTTAGCACACTTCAGTTGTGCAACCGATGCCACCCCAGAGACCTGCCCCCGAAGCCAGAACATGGGATGGTAAGAGTCACAAGATTCACAACATATTTCATCGCTAATACTCAATCACTAGGAGATATACCCTCATCACTCTAGGTGTTTTAGCCCTTATCTTTACCTTCGTTCGCATTTTTGTTTTCAAACTCCCTGAAACCCCCAGATATCTCCTCTCCCAAGGAAGAGACCAGGACGCGGTCAACGCCATAAATTACATTGCCAAACAAAATGGAAAACCAGAACCCCTGACGCTTGAATTGCTTCATGCAATCGATGCTCGCTTTGGAAACATACTTGGCGAAGAAAGAGAGTCCAACCAAATGTCGAAAAAAG